AATATGAACCCATAACTTTCTGCCTCAGAGGTACCAAAAGAGCCAGGATCACTCACAAGTTTGAGGTGCCTATGGAAACAGGAAGGATTCGACTGCTCACACAGCTGGACAGTCGTGTGGTTCACCTATTTCTTGTTTATGTCGTGGTTCATCTGTTACACTGTGCAAACTATAACGGCGATGCCTGAATTGATACACACACATAGTATAACTTTTGATAGCATAAGTAAGTTTAATCAAAACAAATGGTTGCAACTGACATCACGAATATTGAAAGACTCATAAGGGTTAGTGATTGGTTATACCTTAAAGGTTAAATGAACATTAGACAATAAACTAAATACATCACATACAGTCCTGTAGTCGGTCGAATACTGATCCCGAATATAATTCAATAAATCATAAGGTTGAATCACATAATATCAAAGGTTTTAAGTGAAAGCTTATGTATGGATACGTGGAAGTGCGAAACTATACTACCGGTAATTAGCAGTCAATCACCCCGGTCGGTAAAAGCAATGTGCTGGGTCAGGAAGCTGGGTCAGCGGTCAAATCCGACTGGTCTCTGGAGTCTGTGACAAGGCTTCCTTCTCTCTCTCTTTCTCTCTCGGTTACCCTGTTTCCCTCTGGTGCGTCGGTGCTATTCTGCCTTAGAAGTCGGAGTCCGGAGTTCTCCAGTGAGCAGCGTGATCAACTGGAAGAGCTGCCGGTTTGCTGGTCTCCGAGTTTGGTTCTCCCTCCTTCAGCCCTCCTGCTCATCCTCCAAGGAGTCATTCTCAATCTTGAGTTTCTGTGGTTTCGGTCGGAGAGGTCAGCCCTTCGCAAGGTTGACCACAGAGCTCCTCCTCTGTTCTCTCCCCAATCTGAGACAACTTCACTCAGTTTCTAAAAGTACTAACTCTTTCAGTCACATCAATTTTGGACCCTAACCTTCCTTCAGATCTGCTCATCTTAACCTGCACATGGTGTTCATTGTATCGGTGCCCCTCAGTGATGAGTTCTCACGCATTCCTTTGCCCCTCGTGACTCTTCTCCTGGCTCCTAATCTCCCGTCTCAGTCTCCCTGTCTTGGCCTTGAAACTGTTTTCTGACATGTTTCTTTGTTCTGGAAAATGTAATTTCATCTAACTTCTTTGATAGCTCTAAACCAGTTTGTACTAGCCTGCTGACCGCTGGGTTCAATTTACTGCTGACTTCAGGGGTTTCATAGGTCATTCAATTGTCCATTTTCCTTATTAAACAACAGTGAGTACATCACCCATAATCATATGAATCAACGCTTAAAGTCATTATAATACATAACATAATCATCCATAACTAATCATTATTTACACCTGTGTGTGGTTCACTTTTTGCCCTCAGTGCTTCAGGATCATTCCTGCTGTGTAAATAAAAGAAATTTCACAGCCTGGTATATGACATGATGGCATCTCGTTTGCACAAGAACAGAAAAGAAACAGCAACAGGAACTCTGGACAACTCAAAAGACTTTACTAAAGCTGTTATACAATTGCACGTTTCATGTTTGCACAAGATCTATGCTACATAGAACAAAGTGTCAAGGGCCAAACGAAACTTGATAGCGACATGTAAGAGTTTTAATTCTAAGAGAATATCATTTCTTTCAATGGATCACCTTATTCATCAATAATAAACCTTGGATTTTATATAGTACAAAGAATGAACAGCATGGAACAGGCCACTTGGCTCAACCAGTCCTTGCTGGTGTTTATTCTCCACACAATACCCTTCCATATCCTTCTGTTCTCCTCTTCCTCTTGTGAAGGCTTAGCTTCCTTTTGAACGCATCTACACTATTTGATTCAACAGCCACTTTAGGCAGTGAGTTCCACCATCTGACTATCCTTTCTGTGAAGTAATTACTCCTAATTTATGTTTTGGACCCCCTAGTGACTATCTTATATTTGTGTTTCCTGCTTACGGACTCCACAACCAGTTGAAACTCGAACCAGTTTTTTTTTCTCAAACCCATTTATAATTCTAAACTATTCTATTAGGTTCCTCCTGCAATATCACTTTATAGCAAAAAAAGACCCAACTTATGCATTCTATCCTTATAGAAGTAACCTGCCAACCATGGTATCATCCTAGTAAACCTACTCTGTACTCTTTCCATCACAGCTAAATTCTTCTCATAGTGTGGAGACCAGAATCAGACACAATACTCCAAATGTGGTCTAACCAAGGTTTTGTATTAATTCAACATCATCAAATCATTTTTTATTTTCTACTTTTAGAAATTTGTGGATCTGAATCCCCAGATCTCTTCGCTCCTCTACTGCTCTTAGATTTCTACCATCTAGACCTGCGTTTTTCAAACTTTTATTTAAAAACAATATACCTCTTCTGTCTGTTTTCTGCTCAAGCACCCTTTATGATTTTTGCTCTACTGGATAGTACCACAGTTGCAATAAAAGGCAGAATAATCTGCTTATCAAATTAAATGTTTTTGCTGTTCCCCTCTTCAGAAATTCAAGTCCCTTCTGCACCCGCTCTTTCTACAAAACAGTCGTTTTGTATAGAGGATTTTATTTTCTCAGCTAATAATACATTTTCTTAATAACAGAACAACAAATAGCACAGTAACACTACTACTGAATAAACTTAGTGTTTCATATACCTCTTCATGGCACCAGGCCTACATTTTTTAATAACAAATATTTATCATAAAGAGCAGTTATTGTTTAATAATAAAATTATAATTGTAAGCTATCTCAGAGTTCATGTGGAATGAACCAAAGAAGACCAAAGCATTATGGATTTGTTTACTGTATAAATCACAAGTTATGGGTTTGAATTCCAAAGGTTGTCAAAGATCAACAGGAATGGCGGAAACAATCTGTTTGGATCTGTGTGCTAATTACTCTTGAGTCTTTGAAATGCATGGTTTGAACAAATGGTCGGAAGCTGGTCAGGATGGTAGATGTTTGCATTCATGAAATATCAGTGATAAGTGGCATCAAATAGGCCAGGAGAGATTTCTCAGTTGCAGATTTGGTGGGACTCGGAAAAGTATAAGGTAACACAGGTTCAGAGGAAAATCAGAAGAGCATAGCTGGGGAACAGAGCAGTTAACCTCAACCGATCTCAAAAAGATCAACCAATCTCAAGAAGACCGTCCACAACGCACTCAATCGATGAACGCACTCAAATCCAGTCGATTCCCTCCATCTCTGCCACAGAATCCAGTTCAATCAACTGATTCATCGGCCGCAAATTGTATTCTACAGTCGGAAGCATAATTCCTTTAACTGTTAGATATTGCTACTTTTCGCTAAGTAATAAACTAGATTGATTGTACCACGTTCAGCCTGGTCTTTGTCTGAACTTTACCTCAGGATTCACAAACCAAAATAGAACCTACATAATAAATATACACTGTTACATTACATAAAAATACATTTACGTGGAGTCCTGTAGCTCAGTGGGTAGAGCACCCGCTTTGCAAGTGAGAGACCTGAGTTCAATTCCAGGCAGGGCGAAACCTTGGGCAAGTTTCCTTACTCCACACAGAGCCTAATAATAATAAAAATACATTTAACATCCGCTCAGACTCTCTTCCTGTCCCTCTCCACATGGAGTGGTACTAACGTAAACACCTCTTCAGTAATATTTTAATGTAATGTAGTCTATAACATAAATACTTATACAGGAAAAGAAAGACCTATATCTTTCTCCTTTTACTGCACAAGTATTACTAAATAGGGGAACATGGGGGAAGAATTTCAAACATTAACTTACCTTTCATCTGAAGACCTTCAAATGATTACATACTTCTGCAAACCATAGTCTAATAGCTGTTAACCATGCCTGCGGCTATTAGGTGATGAAGACCTTCCTGCCACAAAGCTGCAAATGCATATTGCGGGTTCTGTCCCAGCCTTGTGTTGCACGCTGCAACTCCGCCCTGCGCCTGTGCTCCCATCATGTTTCTCCGATCCAGGTATGCTCTCTTTCTCTTGCACGCATCCCGGCACCATAAGAAGCCAGCAACCAGTAAGGGAGTACTAAAGCCAGACAGGCCAGTTAAAAACAGGCAGGTAGAAATCCTAATGCGCACCCCTGATAACCTCATCACGCACCCCAGTTTGTAAAACAATCAGCTAGAGTACCATCAGAAGTGCCCCTGGGTATAAACGTATCCCGATTGAAAACCCCTGATCTAGACTATAGACCGCTTCTTTATTTTTCCTGCTGAAGGGAATTACTTTGTATTTTTCTATATTAAACTTAATTTGCCATCTGCCTGCCCAGTCAAAACCTATAACGTCAAATGTCTCAAAATGCAACAGGTAGTTTGTAAAGAGTAAAGTCCCACAAACAGCCATGACCAATTTATCTGGAGGATTGTTGATCAAGACAATGGGAGAAATTCCCATCTCTTTTGGAAGTGTCATGAGGTCTTTATAAAGGTTTATAAATGTCCACTGGAGGAACAAGCAGATACAACCTTGGTTTAACATCTCACCTAAAGGACAACACCTCAGACAGTACAGTGTTCTCCCAGCATTGAAACAGAAAGTCAGCATGGAATGTGAGCTCAATATCCCAGCATGGGGCTTGAACCCACAAATTTCTGACCCAAAAGAAGAGAATACTGCTAAAGGAAAGTTTCTGTCCTACCTCTTCCTCTTTTCTTTAGAAGAAAATTATTGATAATTATGAAAATTAGTTTATTGGGATAGCTTTGTACTTTGAGGATCAAAAGGACGTGACCTTCTCTAAGACAGTCCAGTGCTGCGATGAGAAGAGGTGATGTTGTTCCATTCATTTTAATGGGGGCCAGTGATTCGTATCAGCCATTGAACCAATCTAGAGTCTCCTAACTCTCAAGCAATACCTGGCAATGGTTCGATATCACTTTATATTCTGCAGCAGTGGTCACCTAGAGTCTAGCAGCTCCAGATCAGCTCCCATTCCTTTAAAGTAAAGGAACCACTGTAAGGCACCTACAAGTGATGGCGAACACCATAGGTTCATGAGATGAAAAAAAATGCAAATGCTGGAAATCTGAAATACAAGTTGGATATGCTGGAAATTCAGAACAGATAAAGCAGCATCTGAACCAGAAAGGTAGGTTAACATTCTGGGAGTGTGATGAAGAGCGACTCCAAAACGCTCACCTATTGTCCACTTTCAAATAATTATGTATTTCTGCAAACCATAATCTAATAGCCGGTTGGCCTGGTTGACAGATGTTGAAGCTACTCTCTCGGGGTAGGGTAGTTTGATGATGACAGGCAGCTCTTGCCCAGCAATACTCATAGAACAAGTTTGTAGCATCAACAAAAAACGGCGAGACTTGGCTCATTTCACTTGGTAGCTGCAGACTGTCCAGACATCTTTTCAAAGATCCACTGAAAGAAGCCAACTTTTTTGACATATTCTATCACATACTCAGGGTAGATCTGGTGTTTGTCAAATATGACAAAGAGAGATGGGTCAGCAACATTGTCAGTGCAACTGTCGTACAAGTTGGTTAGCGTGTTATCTTTTGAAGGAGGCCGGCAGTCAGCCTCCTTTCCCTTGGTAAACTCTCCAACCAAAACCTTTACAAGATACATGGTTCTTGAGGATAACGGTGACGGGGAATTACCATCAGCGTAGGATGCATTGGTGGCAAAGTAGTTTCCTAAGGGCACACAAAAAAATACACTTATTTTTAAATGTGTGTGGAAATGCTCAAGCATAAACTGATAAATGGGTGCTCTCAGTCAAACTGTAGCTTTAACTGATAATTCATTAATTTTAGAAATTAATTGGCTATTTTATTTTTAGTCTGAATTTCCAAAAAAAAAGTTTAAATTGATTATTTCATTCACGCATTTTGTACCTTTTCCAAATCCGTTTCCATGCATTCCACAGATCTCCAGTCAAAATTCTGCTGGCAGACCACAGTGGGAAGTGAGCTCTTGGAGCCATGGAATAGCAGTTGCTCAGCCACCTCTTTCCCACTCTTCTTCTTCATCTGCTCTTTCTGCCTGAGTTCAAAGAACAAATGGACAATGTGGTGACTTTGCACAGTCAGCAACAAAATAAAACGCACGCAAAATAAATACATCTTAGAGGAGGAGACCATTGATTACCCCCCAATCATCTCTTCTCCAGTGTAAACATTTCTGGGCTATTCCAATACCTCCTTTTTAGTGCAGTACATCATCTCATATATTGATTTCATCTCCTGATTTTGGCATTTTGTCAATGCAAGGATTTTACAATTCTAATAAAATCAGAACTCAGTGTAATATTCCAGGCACAGCCTGGGCCACCTGCTACTACACTGTGGAGAGAAGGCCATTGGCTTCTCCAAGACTGTCCTTAATGCCATTCTGCATCTAGTCCTTCCCTGTCAAAGCTTTCAACCATGTTCCCTTACCCTAGGTTCCATAGCATAAAGAAGTTATGTACATCAGTGTCTTCTTATTTTGAATTAAATGACAGTAACTCGATCCTAAATGAGTTGTATTAACCTAGTATTATGCTATTTGGACAAGAGACTATTTCAGTTCTTCTGCTCGTCTTCCAACAGATCTATGAACATACATCACTTCACCTTATTTTTTAAAAAAAAGCAATTTAAAAACCCAACCTTTCAGAAATGTGAAAACTACAAACCATTGATAAACTTGCCATAGAGGCAAGTTTTGGACTCTTTCAATTTTCCGGATGGTACTGTTACTCATAGTCTTCTGGAAGAGAGACTCCACTTGCTTGTAGTCCTCAGAAGGCACCTGGAGCTGAACGAGCTGCAGAGAGATCAGCTCAGTTAGAATTACCCAGCATTGTTAAATACGTTCAAAACATTCCCAATTCGACAAAATAACTAGAGTAACTTAATACCAATTGATTTTTTTAAACAATGACTTTCCTGATTGTATGCTCAGTACTGCACTGAGCTATGCATAAAATGACCAGGTTATTTTGCAAGTCTGGCTGAGAAGGTGAAAGTGCAATATGATGGGGTACTGAGTCAAACAGACCAGAAAGCTGCTATTTTGGTCTGTTGTGTTAATGGGTGTCAGCCAGGGTTGTGGTGGTGACACTACAATTGGCCTCAGTGTTTAAAGGCTGGGGTTGGGGGAAAAGAAGAGAAAGGGAAAAATTCAGCTTGGGCTGCAAACCTGGATCACTATAAAGAACTCTACGAGAGAGTTGTATAGCTACCGGGTGAATATAGGATAGTGTTCAGTTGTGAAAGGTCTTATATGTAGCGTTCAAACAGAAAGAAAAATATTTTAAAAATCTGAGGGAAAGAAGCTCGGAAATACACATGGGAGCATAATTAAGAACAACAACAAGATTACATTTGTATAGCACCTTTCACGTCGGGAGAAAGAACCCAGTTGTTTGGAACCAATTTGATCTCCCTGGAACAGCAACTACGGAATAAATTTTGATATTTACGCAGCTAAAGTACTTTACCTTATATCCGATGTCAGGCTGATTTTTCAGATCCCAATGTGTTGGGGCTGTCTTGCCTACAGGGGGATAGTCCTTGCCTTGTCCAGGCTGCTCTTTGCTGTAAAAAGACAGCTGTTAAACAACGACAATTTGCATTTATGTGGCCCTCATGCAGGGTAATGTCCCAGAGCACTTGACAGTGGCGGAGCACAACACCGAGCCGGGGGGGGGGAACCATAGACACAGTCGAATAAGAAGGTCTTCAGGTGCGACCTGGTGGGCAGAGGGAGTACAGATCACAGAGAGAGAGAGAGAGAGAGAGAGAGAGAGAGAGAGAGAGAGAGAGAGAGAAGTCATTTGTGACAAGCGCCGACTCTGTTATGGGCAGGGCGGAAACCAGAGGGGCTCGAGGCGGGTGAGGTGAGAGCAAAGCTGGTTAGCGACAATGCGTTTCAGCACTTGGCAAGGGAGGGCAGGTTGGAAATGGGCTGGTAATTTGTGATAAACACCTAACTCCCACTGATGCAAGCCCATTGAAGGTTTCAATGATCTGCAGTCCCCTTCTCCCATTAGTCTTGGTCAGTATGGAAAGCCTGAGAGTGAAGCATGGTTCTACCATTGCGGGCTTTCAGCCTCGCTGCCCGCACCCTTTGGAACTCCACCCCACAATCCCTTCGCCTTACTCTCTCCTTGAAGGCGTGACTCAAGACCCTCCTTTTCAGCCACCCTCCTACCTCTCTGCCCTCCCTCATCCTAATCCTGCCCCCACAACGCTCAGGTCCTGATCCCCGACTGTTCAGCGCCTTGGGACATCTTCGACATGAAAAGCACTTTATAAATGTTATTTTGTTGTTGTTCTGTCACCAACTCTAATCGCACCTCAGACATGCAGTTTCAAACTGACCCAATTCATAAATTCAATATTATTTGGGTGTTCTGAATGCCTGCCTGTTGGCTAAGTTCAAGTGTAGCTTCAATGTACACTTGATTATCGAAATTGATCCAGTGCAAGAGATCACACTGCCTGTGCTGCCCTTAGCCCTTCGGCAGCAAATTGGACAAGATTATGACAATTAGTGCTTTTCAGCAAGATGAGTTGTCCAGTGACTGTAACTGGGATATATAAGCAATTGAACTAAATTGGAAATTTAGAGCAGAAAAGAGGTTTCCCCATCTAGAAACTGCAAGTGTTGTACAAGCTTTATTAAGCTTGACTATTTAATCCTTTCAAAACTTCCCCTTCTTTTTTGCCTCTTTTCAGTCCCCACCTCCCTCTCGAGAGGTGGGGTATGATTTCACTGGACCAGCAGTGTTCCAGTCTTCAATTTTCAGTGACAATCTTCATGTGTGACAGGTCACAGAATGTTAGCATGCTATTTGACCATAGGAGGGATCTCAACACAAATAAACTTGCTGTACATCTCTCAAATTCATAAAAACCTTCCCTTCATGTTAATTTCAGAACTGAGTGATGCAAGACCAACAATTCACTGAGAGGACAGTTACCAAAGTCAAAGGCTTGGAGCCAATGCCTTACTTTCTCGATTGTTTTTGCAGAGGTTGTTTTAAATGTCAGTCTCTATCCTTTCCTAAAACCTGCAGGTGGGCATTTGGAAAGAAATACCTGTACATCTCTCTTGTCATTTGTTGTTCTGAAATAAACCTTGGTCGCCTTCGGACACCTCTGCATGTTCCAAGAAGCAGATTTATTTGCAACATTCCTATAGAAGAATGAAATGTTACGCCATAAGATTTCACACCCAAGACTCTCTTCTGTCCCACTCTGCAGGTGCTACATGCAGCTATTGCACCCCCTCCACTCCTCCTGTAAAAGTTGGCCCAATAACACCCCCCACTGCCCATCCTCCCCCAGATCCTGCTGTTTAGCTCCTCCCAGATCTTCTTCAGACTTGGCTAAATTTCCTACCAGGCTGTTTGAAATATCCTGCTTATACCCCTGCACCTTGGAACCAGTTAAACTCTATAGAGGCTCCACTATCCTCTCCCTGAGGATATGTTTAGATACAACCTTAATGGTTGAAGGACTGCGGTGGTTCCACCAAGACCAAACATAAGCTGCTAACCACCCCCTCCACAATAGAAGCTAAGACTGAAACAAACCATTTTCTCTGTTCACACTCCCAGGTATGTGTAAGCATACCTTTAAAGTCCAACTTGTAGTTGTATTTTCCAGCTCTGAATTCCACTGTTTCTATGCTCTGAGTCAAATACAAATTCTCCAAGTCTGCAGAGGTGACAGAGGCAACTCCGTACAGCTCTTCCTGTCAAGTAACATCACAAAACTACTGTTAGCATTGAACTGAGCAGGGACGACTGTCTTGATCAGGAACTGTATTTTCATATGAAAGGACTTGGACCAAGGTCAGACATCATGAAATACCTTCGATCACTATTAATGAGCAAATAGTTAGAGCTCCCAAACTCCTGAGGGTCTTCAATTTAAGATCATGCCATATACTGGAAAATTATTAAATTCTGTTTTTTTTTAAAAATATTTTGAAAACTGAGATCACCGACTTCCTTGAAAATTGAATTTCAAATTTAAGAATTTTCCTAAATTCTGCCCAGCCTTACGTTTTCATGGCCAAGACCATGAGAGACTCTAGGTCTTTGGGCCCAGTCCTGTGATCATTTGGTCTGATCAACAACAACAAAATTACATTTGTAGAGCGTCTTTCACGTCGGGAGGACGTCCCAAAGTGCTGAACAGTCAGGTGTCGGGGCCCGAGCATGGTGGAGGAGTGGTGTAGGGGTGAGGGAAGGTAGACAGGTGGGAGGGAGATGAAAGGCACAGTCAAGGAGACTGTGGGATGGAGTTCCAGAGTGTGGGGGCAGAGAGGCTGATAGCCCGGCCACCGATTTTAGGGCGGGAGACATGGAGCAGGCCAGAGCCCGATGAACGGAGGGAGCGGGCACGTTGGTAGGGAGTCAGCAGGTCAGAGAGGTAGGAGGGGGCAAGGCCATGGATGGCCTTAAAGGTGAAATCGAGGATCTTGAAGTCAATCCTCTGGGGGATGGGGAGCCAGTGGAGTCAGATCTGGTAATGGTCTTTTGGTGCAACTGCAGCAAGAGGACAGGTTCATCATTAATGACCAATAATTGAGGCAATGAAAGCACATCCATGAGGGTCATCATCATTAACTCTATCTTTAAAACTCAAAACGGTTTTCTACCTGGTATCTTCCTGATTTATATGACTTAGCTACATATTGGGTTAACATTCTGTGTCACTTTCCATCCTTTTCCTGTCTATCTGTACATCTCAGCAGTCATGTAGTTACATTTGTTGCCCATGCTGGTCTGGGCTCAATACCCAGCAGACCATCATTTTCTTGAACATGAGAAGGAGTGAAAGAGAGAGAGAGAGCACACAAACTCACCTGCTTTCCAAATTCAATCCATTTTATAGAATCGCCCTGCCAGTACCAGAGCCACTCTGTGGTAAGGATGTAATGCTCAGGTTTGGTGACAGAGGAGACTGTGGAGAGACGTCTCACTTTGCAGGAGTTGCTGGTCATTGTTATGAAATTAATAGGTGGGGATCCACCTCTGTAACAGAAAATAAACAGCCCAAAAAGCAGATTAGAAGGTAGCTGCAGTACAAGGATCAAAATGTAGGAAAAAAGATGGAAAGAAACAGCATTCGATAATGCTCCAGGTTCACGGGTGATGATATGTTGGCAATAATATGTTGTATAAAGCAAAAATTAACCCTCGATCTCTATGATCTGCATCAGCTACACCGTATTTATCTTTTATCTTTAATGGAGGTTCTCTGAATTCTTCTTCCTCTATCAATGTTCGGAAATCAGATGGAATTCTCACCTCGCCCCCACTTCTAATCTCTTCCTCTCCCCCCCCCCCCCCCCCTCAAAAACACCCAATTGTATAAAGCCCAAGTTTTGTTCCTATAGATGGATGGAAATTCAACCACCCATCTTAGACTCCTGGACAGATTAGAAGCAAAAATTCATCATCTGATAAATAACCCTTCCCTCATTTCATACCTCTGGTTTCCATCCTCTTTTTTCTCTCTCTGTATCTCTTTATTTTCACTATCATGAACTAATCCATCAGAAACTGCCATTTATAAATGAATAAATTAAAGTTTATGAAGCTCTATCACAATTCAGTTCCCCTGGTAAATACAACTAGAACCGACCTGGCTTTGTTTGACGGATCACAGAAGTCCTTTTCTATCTCCTCCATGTTTGTGAAATCCTTCCAGGTTCCTTCATAAATTTGCCATCTGTAGGGGAGCTTGAAATGTACCAGTTTACACTGATCTGATAGGAAAATAATTTGGGTTATTTCACAAGCGATACAGACATCGTAGTTTAGAGTCAGCCTTCCACTTAGCTACTATTGGCTATTTTCAATTATGCCTACAGCAGTGTCCCACAAACAGTTGTGGATTGAGTGACCAAATTATTATTTTTAAAAAAGTTTTGAAGGGATTATAACCCCCGGAAAAGCAATCTGCCAATTGACTAACAACCGGGTTTCTACTTTACTGCTAGGTAAAAAAAGTAAGGAAACGTGTGGAGCAAGGAAACTTGCCTAACATTTCACCCTGCCCGGCTCTAACTAATATACCATAAGAGTCCTGTAGCTCAGTGATTAGCGCACTCGCCTCACATGTGAGAGATCTGGGTTTGATTCCCAGCAGCACAAAACCTTGGGCAGATTTCCTTACTCCACATGCCTGATAATAAATCCTCAAGAAAAAAAATGATTGGTCACTCAATCCATGACTGTTTGTGGGACACTGCTGTGTGTAATTGGCTGCTGTGTTTCACCCACAAAATATAGTCAATTCACTTTACAGTATATTCTGTGGAGCGCTTTGAGATGTCTAGAAGACGTGAAAAGCACTATATCAAATGCAAGGATTAATATTATTATTACTGCAGGACTCCACGAGTCAAGACCATGGATTCTAGCCAAATTGCTGAACAAGAGCTGCCGTTACCCACTCAGTGGAACTCTTACAAAATTTTTCTGATGGACTTTATAAACTACTTTTGTTTGGTGTCTGTTATATATATTGACTTTTCTGTGCCCCTCTTTTGGGGGGAGGGGGGGAAAAGAATTTTCAAATCTCTGGTCCTGCTTAAGGCCTGATATTCAGCCACGTAGCCTGTTATTGATTAACCGAAGGCGCCACCGATCTCATACTTTCGATAAGTGAGTGACCTTTGGACATAAATGAACGGCAGACGTATGTCGCCACAACATTGCTGTACAGTCGGACCCACTCCTGGAGGATTATCAGGACACAGAGTGCTCAGTGTCTGAGAGGCAGAAGGTTATTGAAGACATATTTGTTCACATTAAGCCATTTGATTAAAACAAAGTTCCTCTATAATTAGAATATAATTGCAGCTCATTTACAATTGGTGAGTTTTAGAGAACAAGGTTTAGAATCTGCACATGTGGGCATTTGGTACCTTTATAGGAACAATGCTTCCTGAGAAAGAACAAGCAAATATTCTCACTGTCCACATCACTCTTGCAATCACTGGAAGTCTTGCGGCGTGGGCTTCGCTTCTCTGGAAGGGAACAGAGAGAAAAAAAGACTCAGGGTCATCACTGAGCAATAACAATACTGTCCTTTCCATTATAGGCAGTGATGCCAACAGCATTCAGAAACACACACATTGACTTTACTCTCTCTCCCAAACAAAAACTGGTAGATATTTGAAAAGAATACATTTCAGATACGTTTTTCCAGAAAGGAGAAATCCCTCTCCTTCCTTGGCCAAGAATTAATGAATTCACTCTGTTAGACTTGATTGCCTGCCCCTTTCACCCACAAATACATACTTCACAGAAATGTTGTGGCATGCTTTATAATCATGCTTTATAAAATTATTATTCTCAAAAAAATTGAAAGAGAAAAAAAACTCTACCTTTGACACTGGCAGATTTCCATATTTTAATCTGACAGATGTTTAAGTATATTGATGGTAAATCACACACCAACTCTATGTTTAGTCGGCAGCTCTCAAAGAGAGCCCGGCTCTCCAGGAAGCTGTGTAATCGCATACACTGGTTACCAAGAGAGCAGGTTCCCAGAATGAATGGAAGGCAGATATGAATATTTTTGCAGGATTGCTTGAAGCTACAGGCTCCATCGCGACCACTTCCTTTGTTGTAAAATGAACAAACCTTAGAAAGAAATACAAACAAAAACCAAATATCATTTCACGTGGTCATTACTACCTTCCCACTTGATTGCAAGAACGGCTAAGAATGATTTACCTCCAATCGCTACTCATTCCATCTTCCCCAACCCTCCCCTACCCTTCCCAATTTACTGCAATCAAATGTAGGAACTTTCCCAGTCCGTATGGCTCAGCTATTCACTGTACTTCTTCAGCCACAAGAGCAAGCAAGCTTTTTAAGTGTTTTACACATAACGATTAGCTGGAAATCAGAAAAAGGTCTGAATTTGAAGGGAAAAAATATTGCCATTTGGTACAGATGGCAATATTTCTCAATGTCAATCAAGGCCTCCTACCTCAGGCAGCAGGATGGGATCATTTTGTAGCAATAGCTGGCGTAGTTCCTCTGTGTTCAAGCTGCCTAGCCCATTAGCAGTCAAGATGGCAGAGTTGTGGGGGGAATGGATGTCATGAGATTGCGTGCAGCGTTTTCTAAAATGGAAAAACAACACCACCCACAGAAGCAAATATTTTAGCCTTTTCAAGAACCTGTTTGCTACTTGCCCAGCATAATACAGTCACAATCATAATGGCACATACCTGGTTGGGGTGTGATTGTGTATATGTGCGTGATTAATACGCAGTATTGTACAGGGTGTTCACAAAGTCCTGTTAACCCTGGTTTTATTTCTTACAATGAATTTTCATTATCATTGTCGAGTGTAACAATGTCTGATACCAGTAGCTTCCTTATCACTCCATCGTGTTATGGAAGATGTCGCACCAACATGGCAACACCACGCTACATCACATCTGCTGTGAAAATGATGGCACTCACAACAATCCTCTGCTTGTCTAAATATAGTTAAACACTTGTACTGAATACAATTAAGTCCTTCTCAATACAATTATCATCATTCTTCCACGTTTTAGTTGTTGGTCAGTGCACTGCAGATAAAACACATGGTGGGGTGGGGGGAACAGGACTTTGTGAACACCCTGTGGGCAGTGCAAGAGCAGGTTGAAGCTACACTACACTCACTTTTTGATCTGGTTTGAGGCAGGTGGGAAGGGAGAAAAAAAAGGGAAGAGCACAAATGGATTTTGGTGGCAACCTGTGAGCAAAGCTCATGTCCAGGTAAAAGAGAATTCCCACACCAAATACAAGACTGCTACTTGAGGAGAATTATTAGAGTGCTACATCACAGAAACAACCCATTTGGCCATCAAGTCAAGCACTGGCCACTGGCCATTCTCTCCATTTTCTCACCTCACATAACCTTCAGTTTTCCATCAAATTTCCCTTTTTTTAAAAAAATCATGCAGTGATGGTTTGGAGGTAGGGTATTCTACATTCCAGGCATCCTGAAGATCCCAGGCAATTATGTTCCGGAATATCCAGATTTTTATTATTAATAATAACCCTTGCATTTGATCTAGCCCATTATCGCATCTTTGAGACGTCTCAAAGCGCTTCAGGGAATATACTGTTAAGTGAATTGACTGTATATTTTGTGGCAAAACCTGACAGCCAATTGCACACAGCAGTGTCCCACAAACAGTCCTGGATTGAGCAACCAAATGTTTGGGGCTTTTTTGGAAGGGATTATTACCCCCGGAAAAGAGATCTGCAATCGACTAACAATCAGATTCCTACTTGCTGCTAGATAAACAGATACATGTGGAGTAAGGAAACTTGCCCAGTGTTTCGCCCTGCCCAGGAATCAAACCCAGGTCTCTTGTTTGCGAGGTGAGTGCTCCAACCACTGTAATACAGGATTCCAAATGAAAGGGTATGCAATGTCAGAAATGTTAGAAATGTTTAGTCAGCAAACATTGCCAAACAAAGGTACTGCAAAGGTATGTTGGGGGGGAGGGGGAAAATGGAGGAATTCTACTCCTGTTTCTATTCTCTCTTTGCCTGTGTCAGATGCCTGTGTCTAATGCCCATGTCAATAATTCTCTAAAAGACACTATTACCTATGCTGGGCACCTTGCAAGTGAATGACTTACTTGGGATCAGTTGGTTTGCAGTCATCATAGACAAAGCGGCGGCAGAGGTGCAGAAATCCACAATTATTGCAGCTGGTCTTGGAATAGGTCCTGCACAGCCTAACCGAGGTGAGGGCGATGATTAGATTACCTTGAGCTAGGTTTGATCCCACTGACTTGGCTCTGTTCAGCACAACAAAGGCCTCAGTATTCCCCAAGACCCGACTCAGCTCTGTTTCAGATACTTTGAAATCTGTGCTGAGTAATGAATGGAGTGTACCGTAATCCAGAGCTCCTTCATTAGAGCAGAGGGTCTTTATGCTAACTTCAGTGAGATCTGTCACTTGTGACATTGTTCCTGGTTTGCTCTTCTCCTGTTTAAATGTGTCTAGTTTTAGCAAAGCTTACAGAGGTCACAAACACTAGGAAACGAAACTGAAACTTGTGGCTGGCCAATTGGTCTCCAGCATCTCATCTCATCTCATGATTTGGAAAGCATGACTCAACAGTTCTGCATAATGAGGCTTCACTTTTAACTGTTTAGATGCCACACAACTTTTCTCTGGCATCACAGTTTCCTCTCCATTTTCCTTTTCTTTTCTTAAGACTCTTTGCTGGGATTATGGTTCTTCAGACTCTGGTCAACTCTGACTTACCTCAATGGACACGCTGCATGTTTTATCCCAGATGGTGAGAATTGGTATTTTGGTCAACAGGGATTGGGGGAATCTCAGCCTGGATGCATTCTATCCTCATCTGACATCCATTGGACTGTTGAGGACAATTCTAGCACCCTTCTGCCACCTCCACTAAATCAGCTAACACAGCACCAGCCAGGGATTGAACCTGAGACATTTCTGTTCTTTACGTCTCTTTTTCCCAAGGGTGTAATGTTGTGTGATTTGCAATTTCTTTACTCACTGGATCCCCTGGAACTATTGCTCCTGTCATTGGTGGGTTCACTGGTGTCCGGTTACTGGGGCCATGTTTATTCAGTGACATATGGTGAAATCAACATGTTCTGGGAACCCAGATATGTAAAGAAAAGAGCACGTGGTTCACTGACAGAGGCCTGTGGCAGCTCATTCGATCCTGCTACATCACACCATAAACACATAAACTAGAAGCCTTACCAACAGCTTATTCAGTGTGTAGCTGATCCATTATGACCTAAAAAGTTCAGGATCCGATCTTCAGTCAATACTGTGTTAGCACAACGAGTTAGCACTATTCTTGGTCTAAGTGCCCAGGTTGAGGAGGAAGAAAATCAGCTGATATTCCAACTCCTGATCTCACCAACACCTCCTGCTGGAGATATGCACTATGTGTAACAAGTGCCTGTAAGAAGTGGAAGGGGAAAAAAAAAGAGTCAAAATATTTTCAGAAGAGAGAATTAACAAGGAAAAAGAAAAGTATAGATTCACCTAAAATCAAAAAAAAATTATGCTGAAAAATGTCATTGTCCAAGTCCAGGGTCAAAGATCAAGCGAGAAAGACTTGCATTTTCCCAGTAGATGGCGATGTTGCAAATGTTTTGCTGTGGCATAAGCACAGCAACAGAAACAACAAAAGCATAACAAAAATAGCTAAGCAACAGGGTGTGAACATTTCAACAGACTTCAGTCAAAACTGCCTGGGTAGCTTTAAACATCTTCCTAAATTTCAAATGGAAAAATTATTATTATTGATGTTGAATATCTAAATACAGCCTAAACAAAATCTGTGAGGTTTGGGCAGTACTAAATAATAAAACCATCTAGTCTGTTCCACAAGAATTAATACGAAAAAAGCACCATGGCATTGGAGCATGTGCAGATAAGGTTGCCAACTGTTTCCAAGTCTGAAGCCCAGTCTTGACCAAATCCCTGCCTGCAGTGTCTTTCTTAAGGAGGAAGTCAAAGAGGCTGCTAGAGGTAACAAGCAGAAAATCTTGCAGGGTAGGCCCCTGGCACTTAAGAGTCATTGGAAAAGCCTGGTGGTATCATTGCAAGTGGGGGCTGACTCTGCGATAGCAAGAGTCTGTCAAGAAGGGAAACCGATTCCTCTTAAATACATTAGTTTCCAATTTACTCGAGCCAAAACCAAGTTCGACTTTGAGGAATGCAATCTCTCAGCTGCTACTACAATTTTAGCAAAAATAAGAAATTTAGCACAGCATGCAAAGAAAATTAAAATTGCAACTGCGTGTGACAGCATTAAATCAGCAGCACAGGGCAGAGGAAAAATGCCAAAAGGCTTTAAGGCCAAGGTGGGCTCTGTGGGAAGGGCTTTTACAAGACCCCACGGTGGAGTTTCACACTCAGTTAGAAGCAGATTTGGAGTTGGAAAGCTTACTGCCTGGAAGCAGAGCCCATCGGAAACAGTTCTTTGGGACCTGATGGATGGGCTAATGGTTGTTAGCCGATGCAAAGGTATTTCAACACAGGCTGCAGAGGTAATTGCTTTGTTGGAGGCGCTAAAGCTTCTCCCTTCGGACGTAAAGGTGGTCATCGTTAGTGATTCACCCTACCCGTGTCGAGCCTACACTGATGGCTTAACTAAGTGGGTTGCGGAAAATTGGATGAACCATAAGGGGAAACCCTAACTCCACAAGCAATATTGGCAACAGATTTGAGAGGAGAAAAAGCAGAAAGATGGTGTACACAATATTGGCAATAGCTTTGCAGACCTGCTCGCTCGTTCTGCATGCAACTTGAACCGCCACAGGCTGCCAAGGTATCAGTGACAGAGGTGGTAAACTCTGATTTTACTTCTGACCCTGAGATAGTTAAGTTAGCGTCACTCATGGAGTCAGGGCAAATGGAAAAACTTCCATTCTGGGCCAAAGGCAAAAAGCTTCTGGTGAAGGGGTCCAAGTTGTGCTGGTGAAGGGAAACTTTAAACCAATGTATTCCATCTACACTAGTAAGGGGGTATTTAATTACGACTGTCCATGAGTATCTCCACAATGGGATAAAATGGACCAGGAAAATTCTAATGAAATACTGGTGACCCAATCTCAAGAGGGAGGTTAAAAACTACATGGTGGGTTGCATGCGGTGCATTCGAATTAATCCAAACTCAATACTCAAACTGAGCACGTCCAAATGGGTTGCCCCTGGGAGAGGGTTAATTTAGATTTTATCGGATCCTTGTCTAAAACAGCCAGAGGTAATCACCATTTACTCGTGTTCGTTGACTATATAACTGGATTTACCATAGCCTACCCATCTAAGAGGTGCACGGCTAAAATTGTATTCCAGACAATAACAGAGCAGCTTACCCCAGAAATGGGTTATGAAAATTTCCAAAGCCATTTCACGACTGACATAATAAAATCGGTGACCCATAATCTGGGCATTTTACATAATTTACATGTAACTTACCATCCAGAGAGTTTCAGAAAAATCGAGAGGACTAACAGACTCATAAAAAAAATGCCTTCAAAAAGGGATGTATCCAGAAAGGACGCAGATAGGACAAGCAAATCCCTTGGGTCTTAATGGGACTTAACAATAGACCCCTCAGTGACAGACCAGGGTTGACACTGTTTTACCTCTTCCATGGAAGACAAATGATTACCTTGCTTACGCAGACATCAGCGGAAATATCTACTTTGTAGCTAGAGGACTTTGAAGACTCTTTAGCTAATATAATGCTGCATAATCTGAGAACTCTTGGGACTACAAGCCAGGTGATTTGGTTACTTGGAAGACGCATTACAAGTCCAGAACTTTACGGAAAAGATTCCACAAACCCAGCAAAGTTGTGGAAGTTCTGAATCCTAAAACGATAAAAATCCTCATTTCCAGAGGTAAACAGATAACAGTTTCGATCAACCAGGTCAAACGAGTACAAGTTTGTCAAACCATTCAGATGTTGGAGAGACAATGGAGTGCAAGACAACCCCTTTCTCCAGGTTCAGATATTGAGGAATACGAGAATGCAGGAGCCATTAGAAAACTGGACTGCATAAACATCTGGAGGTGACAGTCAAATGCAGTTGTCAGATGTTCAACGGGAACGTCTGGAAATGGTATTCTAAGTTCTGGGATTGACCTGATGATTATCAAATTTGAGTTTAATGAGTGGCTCTGTTATACACACAAATATGTTTTTAATAATAATTGGTATAAGTCTTTGAAAACAAGATACGGTGTATAAGTTTCTGTTTTCTTGCTGAACTGGAAGTGCATGTGGCTCACAGAGAGAGAGAGAGCGAGAAAACAGCAACAGGCATCCTTGGAGTTAGCTATGCTGGAGTTAGATTAGAAGATCAGCCATGATTGAATGGCGGGGCAGGCTCGAAGGGCCGAATGGCCTACTCCTGCTCCTACACGTTATGTTATGAGAATGATATGACAGAACAGAAAGTTTTGTGTCAGACATTTTGTTGGACTCTTGAATTCTTTCCTCCTACAGATCGACAACAAAGATGTTATCCTCCGAACATATTAATTATCGAGAGGGGGAAATGTCATTGTTAGCCTATTTTTACAATCCTTAATAATGAGTAAATAATATATATATCTATATATATCTATATATTATTTAAGGGAAATGGGGAGGCCTGTCCCTTTAATTAGATTCCGTTTAAGAAACTGTTTGCAAAAGATTTAGTTACAGAAGCTGTTTGCATAAGACTTAGCAAACAGCATACATGAGGTATGGTTGTAGGACATTGCCGTATGCAAATTAGCTGTTGCATTCACTTACAAGTACTGGTGAATGACCAGTTTGTATTTAGGGAATTGTTTGTCAGGACCCTGGGAGAGACTCCCATCAAATACAATAAGCGCTGTCTTATACGGAGTTTCCGGAATTCCAACTGGAAACTCTGACACTGAAAAATAAATTCCGCAGGTCCGTGCACCTGCAGACTCCCATTCTCCTAGTGTGTAGCCAACACCACGCTGACCAGCCTCACCGTCCTTCACCAGGGATATCGACTTTAACTCAGATTGTTTGAATCCTTTGATTCACTATCTTATTCATTATCTTCTGCTAGCCCACAACTTTCTGCCTCACAGTCAGTCTCTGAAAGAGAAAAGCAGTTTGCCTCATAAAGCAAATACCTTGTGGCTGAGGAGGTAGTGGCAGCGCAGTCTGCCATGGCCAGATTCATTTATTTAGAAGCACTGGTTACGAATAGACAAGCGTGCTACAAAGAGATGTAGTCATGGGAATTAACTCAGGTATTAAAACAAGGCTCAGTGCAGAAATGTTATATCAGTGTGTCGTCTGTGTCTGAACATTCCGATTCTACTTGTATTGATGTAGTAAAAGTTTTTGTGTAAACAAAAATACTGAACTATGCAGCAGCATGTTCAGTGAAGTAGAGGTGAAAGCTTAGTGGTAACGAAGCTGACAGCAGGCGAGCATGGCTGCTTTGATAGTAATGTTACTTTTCTGGGTAGCAGTAGATATTGGACAATGTATTCATTGTATATCCTTGGCTTCTGCAGGTCCAAATAACACATTCTGCCATTACCACAAACAGCTGTGTCCATAGGTTGGTTACTCACAGGAGACATTATGTATTAGTTTTATACAGCCAGCTATTACAGAAGAATTGCAGCATATGTCATGTAGAAGTCTCCACACCCTCTACATACACATTGCATCCAAGCACATCAGCATTCTTAGTACACAATTAAAGGCATCAATTTGAAGTACTGAATAAGCCAGATGTGAAACCAGTTGAATCATTGAACCAAACCTCCCTGGATGACAAAGGTAATTGTATCTAGAATGAAGCAGAAAAAGGAGGCGTATGACAAATGTCAAATCCAAGATACAGAAGACAACCAAATAGAATATAGGAAATGCAGAAGAGGTTTGAAAAAGGAAATAAGAGGGACAAAAAGATTATACGAAAAAAGGTTAGCAGGTAACATTAAAGGGAATTCTAAAATATTTTACAAGCATATCAAGAAAAAAAGGCTAGTCAAAGGTATAGGGTGGGGCCAATTAAGGACCATGGGGGAAATCTTATTGTGGAGGCAGAGGGCATGGCTGATGTGCTGAATGAGTACTTTGCATCTGTCTTCACAAAAGAAGTGGATGCACCAAATGCTGCAGTATTGGAGGAGAGGGATAAGTATAAAGAGAGGAAGTACTGAAAAGGTTGACTGCGCTGAAGGTAGATAAGTCGCCCGGTCGGACGGGATGCAACCAAGATTATTATGGGAGGCACGGGTACAAATAGCGGAGGCTTTGGCTACAATTTTTCAATCTTCGTTGGACACAGGAGTGGTGCCAGAGGACTGGAGAGTGGCCAATGAGACTCCCCTTTACAAAAAGGGACAGAAGGATAAACCTGAAAACTACAGGCCAGTCAGCCTAACATCAGTAGTGGGGAAACTCCTGGAGACTATAATCTGGGACAGAATAAATCTTCACTTAGAAGAATATGGGTTAATTAGGGACAGCCAGCATGGATTTGTTAAAGGCAAATCTTGTCTAACAAATCTAATTGAATTTGTCGATGAGGTAACGGAGAGGGTAGTGTAGTGCAGTTGATGTAGTTTATATGGACTTTCAAAAGGCATTTGACATGAAAGACTTGTAAGAAAGATAGAAGCCCATGGTATAAAAGGGAGAGTGGCAGCATGGATCCAGAACTGGCTGGGAGACAGAAGACAGAGAGTTGTGGTGAACGGCTGCTTTTCTGACTGGAGGGAAGTGTACAGTGACGTCCCCCAGGGTTCGGTATTAGGACCACTGTTCTTCTTAATATACATAAATAATCTGGACTTGGGTATAGCAAGCACGATTTCCAAGTTTGCAGACGACACAAAGTTAGGTAGGGTGGTAAACAGTGAGAAGGATAGTAGCCAACTGCAGGAAGACATAGACAGAATGGTAAAATGGGCAGACACATGGAGATGAGTTTCAGTGTGGAGAAATGTGAGGTAATGCATTTGGTAGAAAGAATGAGGGGAGACAATATAGGCTGGTAATACAATCTTAAGGGGGGGTAAAAGAACAGAGAGACCTGGGGGTTCAGTAAATGAATCCTTGAAGGTGGCAGGACAGGTAGATAAAGCTGTAAAAAGGGCATATGGGATACTAGGCTTTATAAATAGGGGCATAGAGTACAAGAGTCAGGAGGTTATGATTAACCTATATAAAACACTGGTTAGGCCTCAGTTAGAATACTGCGCCCAGTTCTGGGCACCACACTATAGGAAGAATATTAGGGCATTGGAAAGAGTGCAGAGGAGATTTACAAAGATGGTACCAGGAATGAGGGACCTTGATTATGAGGAAAGGGTAGAGAGGTTAGGATTATTCTCATTGGAGCAGAGAAGGTTACGAGGAGACCGAATAGAGGTCTTCAAAATCATGAGGGGATTTGATAGGTTAGAAAGGGAAAAACTGTTTCCAGTGGTGGGTGTGTCGGTGACTCAAGATCACAGATTCAAAATAGTATCTAAAAGAAGCAGAAGGGAGGTGAGAAGAAATTTTTTCACGCAGCGAGTTGTTCGAATCTGGAACGCATTGCCTGAAAGGGTGGTGGAGGCCGATTCGATAACAACTTTTAAAAACGCGGTGGACGGGTATTTGAGGAGGACGGGTTTGCAGGGTTATGGGGAAAGGGCTGGGGAGTGGGATTGACATTAATTGCTCTATTCAAAGAGGTGGCACAAACTCGATGCGCCGAATGGCCTCTTTTTGTGCAGTACGATTCTATGATTCTATGATATATAAATTGGTTTTTAAAATCTAAATGAAAAGCAATCAATAACTACAGAGTTCACAGCAGTGTTTCTGGATGAATCAAGGGTATTAAGTGATGCAACTTTTAAATATACAGCAACCACTTTCTATATACTTTTTACTCGCCTGTGCTTGATCCAAGTTTGCATTTGCCCGCAAAATATAGTCAATTCATTTTACCGGATATGCTATGAAGACGTGAAAAGCGCTATATCAAATGCAAGGATTATATATATGTATATACATTATATGTTCTTCTCTTATAGATTGTGACTTTCCATTTCTACTCTGACCTCACCGGCTGCCTTTCTGATTATTTGGTACATCTTGCTTCTGCATCTCCTTATAATTATTGTTCAGGTACAGATCAGCCATGATCTAACAGAATGGCGGAACAAGCTTGAGAGCCTATTTTCCTATATAACGTACAGCTTAAGTATTGGAATCAATTCTTCACTTGCTTCCTGCTCTCGCAGTGAGTCGGAAAAATTCACCAATTTTGCTTCCACCTTCCATGCCTCCATAACATTCACATGATCTATCTCCGACTCTTCCCTTCCTCGACTTCACCATTTCCATCTCGGAGCATAGATTATCAACAGATATCTTTCACAAGCCCACCAACTCCCACAGTTACCTGGACTACACCTCCTCCCACCCCACCCCTGTAAAGATTTCATTCCCTTTGCCCGGTTCCCCAGCCTCCGCCGCATCTGCTCTGACGATGCCGCCTTTCATGCCAGAGCAGCTGAACTGTCTTCCTTTTTCCTCAACTGAGGATTCCCATCCACTGTGGTAGGCAGGGCCCTTGACTGTGTCCGCCCTATTTCCCATACTTCTGCCCTCACGCCTTCCACTCTTCCCAGAACCATGATAGTGTCCCCCTAGCCCTAGTCCTCACCTTGAACCCTACCAGCCTCAACATCCAACAAATAATTCTCCGCCATTTCCAGCACCTCCAGCATGATCCAACCTAAACACATCTTTCCCCTCCCCTCTTAGCATTCTGAAGGGACCGTTTGCCCCGTGACTCCCTGATTCATTCCTCCATCACCACCAACAGTTCTTCTCCCCCCGGCACCTTCCCACGCCAGCACGGTAGATGCGATACCTGCCCTTTCATCTCCTGCCATATCACTGTCCAGGGCCCCATCACAGATTTCAAGTGAGACAGCGATTTACATGCACTACCACCAATGTATTCGCTGCTCATGATGTGGTCTTCTCCACATTGGGGAGACAAATTGCAGATTGGGCGACCGATTTGCCGAACATCTCCATTCTGTCCGCAAGCACAATCCTGAGCTTCTGGTCTCTTGCCACTTCAGCTCTCCCTTCCACTCGCACTCTGACGTCTCCATCCATGGTCTCCTATACTGTTCCAATGAGCCACAGCGACTCATTTATCTGGTAGGGACCTTACAGCCCTCTGGCCTCAATATTGATTTCAACAATTTCAGACAATAACAGGCCACCTTCCCCTCCCTCTCTTTTGTGACCATTACCACATCATCTGGATCCCAGACACACCTTTTCTCTCTCTGGTCTGCCTGTTTTGTTGCAAATTCCCCGCCCCCCTTTGCTCTGCAGTATTAACACCTCTATTCTCCTGCTTTGTTACAATCCCCCCTTTGTTTTGCATCATTAACACCTCTCTAACCCATCATCCCGTTTTCTACCCTATTTTCTCCTTTGTCTTCCTTGCCTACCTCCCTACGCTCTGTTAGCCCTTAAAAATATGCCAGTTCTGATGAAGGGTCGTGGACCCGAAACGTTGACTCACTTTCCTTTCTCCATAGATGCTGCCTGACCTGCTGAGTGTTCCTAGCGACTTCTGTTTTTGTTTCAGATTTCCAGTATCTGCAGTATTTTGCTTTTTGTCTTCACTGAAGCCTGTTCGTTGTTTCAAGGTCCTTTATGAGGTATATTATTCAAGCCTGCACATAGTTTGGGGGTTTCAATTATGTTATTTCTTAATGGATTCACTCAATAAGAAATTGAAAGCATGTAAATGGATACTCTTTCTGATAATTGCAAGTACTTTGCACCAAACCTGATAAGTCAAATCCACAACTGCCATGAATCTTGTAAATCAGCTGCCACATAAATAAGTTTAATTCATAGATATTAACAGCAATTTGCATTTCAAAGAAAAGAGAATGCTTATTACATTTAGTGGTGACATATGATGTTTCAACCTTTTTGTTTTTTGAGGAAAGGGTTTACAATATATAGTAGTTGAGCGGGAACAGATCAGTTGCAGTTTTCATATCCTCTCAAGGATAGGAGTATGCCAGACTCTAATGAAGTCACACTAGAGCAGCACGCAGCATGCCGTGCACAGAGTTGAAGGAAAAAAATTGAAAGAAAATACAACTAATTGTAAAGTCCCCAGACACAGTAAAGGGACGTAATGTTTTGTAAAAGTTGTACTTCCTTGACTTTTCACCCATCCATTTTCCTCTCTTCATCAACTCCTACAAATGACCACCATACAAGAGTACTTGGGTTACATCAAGGTTTATTAATTATTTTTATTTTTTATAAAAAGAGGTTGCAATCATGTCACCTGTAATGACTTAACTAAAAGTATACAGAGGAAATGCAAATACATTTTTTGCAAGCAATAGTTAATTTTAAGTAAATGTGGAAGAGAAAAACTATATTAAAGCGCGGACTGGTAAAGGATGGAGAGTCTGGTATCAATTCCATTGCTGAATTAAGAAAGGAACCACGGTTTGGAATTGGAAACAAACTTTATAATTCTTTAAAAATTAAACATTCTAAGTATTGTCTATGAGGCAGGACTTCATATACAAATTTTACAAACAGGGTGTGAGCAGGTGCTTATGGTTTGCGTAGGATGGTCACATGACACAGATAGCAGAGAAAGATGATTTAGATGGAACCCATTCCAGAGACTTCAGATGTTAGCCTGGAAGAAAGAAAAAAAAGTGATTGGACTATTAGAAATAAGTTCAATAATAATAATTATAATAATCCTTGCATTGGATATAGCGCCTTATCACATCTTCAAGACGTTTCAAAGTGCCTCACAGAATATACTGTAAAATGAATTGACTGTGTATATTTTGTGGGCGAAACGCGGCAGCCTATTGCGCACAGCAGTGTTCCACAACAGTCGTGGATTGAGTGACCATTGCTTGATTGAGTGATTATTGCTTTTACTTAAGGAATTATTACCCCCAGAAAAGCGATCCGTCAATCGACTCAACAACCGTGTGTGGAGTAAGGAAAATTGCCCAATATTTTGTCCTGCCAGGAATCGAACCCAGGTCTCTTGCTTGCGAGGCGAAAAAGCTCTAACCACTAAGCTACAGGACTCCACAGTATAACAAACAAGTCATTTATATTTGCCCCACACGCAGGGTAGCGTCCCAGAGCTCTTGACAGTGGTGGAGCACGACGCCGAGCCGGGGAAATGGGTGAGGTGACCGTAGTCACAGTTGAATAGGAAGGGGCAAGACGAAGGGATAGAGGAAGAGTGCTCCAGAGTTTCGAGGTGTAGTGGCTTAAAGTGTGGCCGCCAATGGTGGAACCGAGGGCACTAGGGACATGAAAAAGGCCAGAGCCAGTCGGGCGGAGGCAGCGGGTTGTGGGTTGGGGAACAAACAGGTCGAAGAGGTAGGGAGGTGCAGGCCATGAAGGGCTTTGAAAACGAGCGTGAGGGTCTGAAATCAATCCGTTCGGCAATTGGGATCCTGGCTAGGACTGGTGTAATGGGAGTACAGAGTTTAGTGTGGGCGAATACGCAGGCAGCAGAGTTTTGGATCAGTTGGATCCTGTGCACGGTGGAGCTGGGGACTGGCATAGAGGGCCTTTGAGAAATCGAGTCAAGAGGTGGCGAACTCATGGACAAGTGTTTTGGCTGCGTCTGAGATAAGGTACGGTCGGAGGCGGGCAATGTGACGGAGGTGGAGGAAGTCGGTCCTGGTCAGGGATCAGATATGAAGAAAGATGGACAGCTATGGGTCGAATCTGACGCCTAGGTTGGGCACTGGTTCGGTAAGTCTGAGAGATAGGCCGGGGAGGTGGCAAAGGTCAGAGCCACAGAATAGAAGACGTTGACAGGAGCCAATGAGTATGGCTTCCGTCTTGTCAATATTGAGTTCCAGGAAGTTTTTGCTCATCCAGTCCCTGATGTTTGCGAGCCAAGCCGAGAGAACATCAGCGGACCTGGATTCGTAGCCAGAATAGGAAGTTTAGATTTGTCATGCTATCGCCAAGAGGAAGCATATAGATGAGGAAGAGGAGGCCCTGATGTCCACCAGATAAGCACAGTTCAATAATGAACGTTAATTCAAAATAATAATGCATTTGCTATAGTGCCTTATCACATCATCGAAACGTCTCAAAGTGCTTCACAGGATTAATTGTTAAGTGTAGTGACTACTTGTAAGTACATGGATGAAGTTTACAAAAGTACATAGAGCTGTTGCTTAGTCTGCAACAATCATTTTCATAAATTCAATGATCTGATCTGAGCTATGTAATCCTATCTACTGGATATCCTATCTTTTGCATATCCTATCTTTTGCATATCCTATCTATTGGATCTACATTAAATGTGAGATATAAGAATGGGATTTATCCATTGACTTAGGTCAAAACTTGCCTAAGAATACACTAGTGTGGGGGGAGGTGAGCTGTTATGGTCTGAAATTATTGAAATCAATTTTGAGGCCAGAGGGCTGTAAGGTTCCTAGCAGATAGATGAGGAGCTTTCCTCGAACTTGCACTGTGGCTCATTGGAACAGCGTAGGAGACCATGGATGGAGAGGTCAGATCATCCCCTGTTCTCTATCCCATTTTCTCCTTTGTCTTCCTTGCCTTGTCTCCCCCCTGTTAGTTCTTAAAGGTCTCTTCCTCCCAACATATCCCAGTTCTGACGAAGGGTCATGGACTCAAAACGTTGACTCACTTTCCTTTCTCCATAGATGCTGCCTGACATGCTGAGTGTTCCCAGTGAATTCTGTTTTTGTTTCAGATTTTCAGCATCTGCAGTATTTTGAGTTTTGTTAAGCAAACTAACACTCATCATTCTTTTCTCTCCCCTCAGTTTTGTTGCTTCCAAATCTCTTAACAGTTCTGTTAACAGACCCTAAGTCTGCTTTCCTCTCCCACTGGAATAGGAAGGAATAATGATACTAGGACAAGGAAGTCAGGGGTAAGAAAGGGGGAAAGGAAGATTTATCCACCTGAGAAGTATGAAATGTAGGGAAAAAATGATGAAAAGTTCAAATCAGAAAAGTGCATCCATTCCTCATGCATTGTAAACACCATCTGATTCTCCATGACAAGCCCGTTAATGTCCACAAGAGCTCAACTTGGAACCACTCACGCAGAGTGAATGAGTGTCATTCTACCTGAGCGAAACTAAGCTTGCCTTCCAATTATTCAGGTATTTTAATGCACCTCACAAATTAGACCCCCATACGATATATCAGTCTGGATTGCCTTACCTTGCATTTATGAGGTACTGTGCAAGGCTTATGTTGGCAGGGGATCCTGTGATAGTGATCTGGCGTTCTGTTGAACCCTCTGTTGCATTAGCTATTTTAATCTGCGCTCCAGACATTTGTCTGATTTCGTTGATTTTGGTTCCTTGTCTGCCGATAATACATCCTATTAGCTAGAAAGAAAAACATTGGGGGAAAAAATTAGGAGTGTTAAATATAAGAAATAAACTGCTGGACAAAACACCTGAATCTGGAAGGACACAATATAAGGCCGTTGAGTCCATTTGACTTCCTTGGTTGTTTGGGTTCATTTTTAAGGCGTGCACAGATCATCACATCTCCTTCCAGACTTGTTGCCAATACAATTTCCCTCATTCTAGTCTAAGTTGGTAATCTGTCCATTTCTGTCTTGAACGCTTCCAACCAAGTTTAAGGTCACAGCCTTAGTGACACCATTTTGAAAGTGAACTTTAATTAGGAATTAGTTATTCCTTCAGTCATATGGAACATGTTACCACAAACAGTGGTAGAGGCCAGCACCGTGGACATCTTAATGCTGTAATGGGAAGATGGTTGGGTAGGGTGGGTGAAAGAATGAGATCAATTGGGAAGAAGGGGCCTGTTCGTCGGCACCTCTCTTGCGACTGAGTTTGCAGTTTTTTTAGAATGATGTTACTGGTAAAGCAGGCGATGAAAATGTCAGGGTAAGATGGGGATATGACGGATGACTACCAGCTTTATAAGCTATTAGAACGATTGCTTTAAGTTTATTAAATCGGTAATGTAGTGGAACATACTGGCTCGAGTTTTGCTGAAACACTAAAAAAAACTGTAGCTTGACCTGATGCTGAGGGTTTGGATCAAATGGAATTCAACAGCAGAAGCGACCAGTCAGAGCTAAATAACTGTTCGACATGACTCGCTATTCAAGATGACAAATTGCTTAAGAACATGAAAGCATTGAGGAAATCACCAAATATCAAGGAGCCATTGCTTATTTTGGAGGAGCTCTCGGGAAAGCATTATGATCCCCGACTGTTCAGCGCCTTGGGATCTCCTCCCGACGTGAAAGTTGTTTACAAGTGTAAGTTTGTTGTTATGTTCAGAGCATTTGTAAAACAGAAAAGCAACATTGAAGATCAAATAAACTAAAAGTAATTGTTATTATCTTATTAAAATTACTATGGATCTGAAATTATCGTATGGGTACTGTGTTACTGTTAGTATGTGTGCATGGGCACAAATATGTCAGATATCCCATCTATTTTGATTACATTTTTAATTTGTACAGATTTTTAAAAATAAAAACTGACATATCAAAGTGATGTCAAAGCTTTTAAGCACTCCGAGTTGTTATCCTACATGAAGGGCGCTATATAAGTGCAAATGATCACTGCAGCTCACATAGCATTGGTGAAGGAACTGTAGTAGTAATCTACCATCAAAGGAACAATATTTGCAGGGTTATCCCAGCTGCACAAGTAGCGGACAATTTGCCAGCCTGTGCTCACAATGGGAAGCATATGGTTGATTAAACTCAGCAGTATCCTTATGCAGGCGTCCCTAAGGCTTGGCTCTTGCCAACCTATGTCCAATACTCACCAGAATTAGGTAAATTGCATGGCGTCACACCAGAAAGACTACACATTCCATTCTAAAAACAGGAAATTATCCATGTCTAGATGACATGGATATGTGGAAATCTCATTCTTGTTGGCATATTACATGCTTACAGATTTTTGCTTCTGTTGGTCTTGCATTATAATCCTTAATCGTTGCATTTGATATAGTGCTTTATCATGTTTTTGAAACGTCTCCAAAGTGCTTCACAGAACATACTGTAAAGTGAATTCATTGTATGTTTTGTGGGCAAACTATAACAGCGAATTGTGCACAGGAGTGTCCCACAAACAGTCGTGGATTGAGTGACCAAATTATTTATGTTTTGAAGAGATTATTACCCTCGGAAAAATGATCTGCCAATTACAGCGTTGGCTATTAGGAGTTGCTTGAGAGTGGCCCAGGATTATTCTCCCAAATTCCTCATGGGGGAGCCTTTTGGTGCTTCTAATTTGTCAATAAATTGCCATTTAGGGATTTGCGGAAATCCCTAAATGGCAATTTAACTGCGAGCATGTCCAAGCAGAAAAAGAATTGCAGCTTGGATATGCTCACAGTTAGCTATCTAGCCAAATAAATACTTATATCTTCAATTCCAGTACAACCTGCCGTGTTCCCAAATATCCCTGTAGTGCTGCTATAGACCATCTATCTGCATTATGAAAAGGTTTACATTTATTGTACACATGTGGCTGTTTATTGCATTCTGTGACAGGAAAATTAAATAACATTTTATTGTTAATGTGCAATCTTTCTTTGGCTTCCAGCCATTTCCTATAGCTGTCAGAGCGGGTTAATGCCAGTCAGTGCATTCAAATTCAGCTTTAAATGCCTTGGTGTCATTAGAAATTTATTATTGGCCAGTGAAAAATTCTGTTGAGCAAGATTTAATATGCCAGTCAGCTACTGACTTTTAAGAGACACTGATTTACTTAGTTTAAAAGTGTGGACAGTCAGACTGAGTCTGCTCTACTTTTTATAATAAATGTGGTCCAAGATCTTCCAATCCTATATTCTTTTGTTACAACAGGCTTTTAAACCTACTTGTGGTTCAGCATTGACATAGATCACCATAAAGAAGTATGTGACCTCAACTGCCTGTTCTTTCAAATGAAGGCGGGGGTAGCAGGAAGCTAAGGAAATTAGAAGTATAATAATAATCCTTGCATTTGATATAGTGCCTTATCATGTCTTCAAGACTTCTCAAAGTTGCTTCACAGAATATACTGTAAAGTGAATTGACTGTATATTTTGTGGGCGAAACGCAGCAGCCAATTGCGCACATCAATGTCCCACAAACAGTCGTGGATTAAGTGACCAAATTATTATTATTTTGAAGGGTTTATTAACCTCGGATAAGCAATCCACCAATCGATTTAAGAATCGGGTTCCTACCTACTGCAAGGTAAACAGAGCCGTGTGGAGTAAGCAAACTTGCCCAACATTTCACCCTGCATGGGAATTGAACCCAGGTCCTCTCACTTGTGAGCGAGCACTTTAACCACTAACCTACAGGACTCCACAATAAATTGACATTTAGCAAATTCATTGGACTACCCCCAATTAAAATGATCAGCGTTGGTTATTAGGAGTTGCTTGAGAGTGGCCCAGGATTATTCTTTCAAATTCCTCATGGGGGAGCCTTTTGGTGCCTCTAATTTGTGGTCCGAGAGGACTCCGTATAAAACAAATTATGAAATCATCTCATTCTGTGTTCATTCAACCACTAATCTGGCTCTTAATAACTTTAGTGAGCTTTTAGAATGAGTTTTCAGTCATTTAGCCCTAACCTACTAGAACTCTTCTTAAATCCCTTGCATTGTTCTCTCTCCCTCTGCTTTTAAAACCGGTCTAAAACAGTTACCTACCCATTTATCTAATTACTAATTGTGCCTTTGTTAGCTGCCTACCTCACTCCCAGTTTGAGATCCCATTCAGTCTTTGTAAAGCACTTTGAGCCATTTTCTCTACAATAATCCTTGCATTTGATATAGCATTTGCAATATGCAGTACATTTCTGAAAGGTACTGCATATTGCAAATCATGCTTGTTGAGATTTTGAAACCTTTATGTCACATCTAGTGACCTTTAAATGCTCAGAGCAAACATTGGGAGACAGATCGATGCAACATTAGCTCGCTCTATATCCAGATTTGTTTTTATCTGGTAACTACTTAAATTGTTAGTTCTAATCAAAGGCTTAAAATATGTTAAAGCACATTGTCAACAATTGGTAGAGATTATGAAAGTAGATGCTCAATTTTACTGCCTTACTGTATGGTGTCAACCTGAAAACTGTTTCTTTAAACCTCTATAGCGTCCTACCAGGTTGAAGCGACTCAAATCGTTGCTAAATACTATCTAGTATAATGGAATTTTGTAGGCAATCAAAACAAACACTTGTGGCAGCAAAATCATGAAGTGAATAACCAGGTAACCTAGGATTGTTGGCCAGGCCGTTGGGGGGAATTTGCATTTTTGAATGTAGTCTACACGCTAACTGCAGCAGCGATCTATCTCAGATATAGAAGCAACCATTCAACAAACACGACAGTTGTCTTCGTGACTAAAGTTGTGTATACGTCGGAAAGTTTAGGAAATGAGTGATCCCGGATCTACATGCATACATACCATATTGTCCGTGTATCCAGTTTTCTTAAATTGCTTTTAAATTATATCGAGTTTTAAGTCAAAATGTATATAAAATGTATATAAAAGGTGCACAGAGGACACAATTTGAATGTAATTTCCATTTATTGGATTTTAGAATGTTGCAATTTCCCCTCACATTTGGGAAAACCGGGTGCTTTGGTGCGTTTGAATATTCATATTGCACATCTTGGGCATTGTTTGGTTCCAGGCTAGACTGGTGGTATAAAAGTATCTTCCCTTTGAAGCCTGTAATGTTTCAAAATGAAATCAGTCTGGGCAAGTCAACACCACAAACCTAGACATAGTCAGTCAGTCATTCAGATCACTGTTGGGAATATAGAATCCTTTTTGGTGATGTAGCAAATTGTTGGGGATTTAACATGTATATTTGGCCAGGTTGTTTGAAGCTGACCTTGGGTGCTAAAAGTAGAAAAATATTGTGTTTCAGAAAAAAGGTTTGGAATCATTTCTAGAAGGTAAAGCATTCATGGTAATTAGATGATGATATAGCTGGAAAAAAGGGATTTTAGAAAGTTGGATGGATAAACTTCCAAATACTGTAGTTTACTTGTCCTTGAAACTGTTGATGTGTTATAGTATGTGGACAACACTTAACAATAAGCTCTGCCAATGGCAACGAGTAAATCCACTGCATGATGTGGCACAATTCCACAGAGTAGGAACATCCCTGTTCAATTATGATTTTATGTCAAGTTAGCTGATCCAAATTGGGCTTGTAGTGGGTGTGTTGTAATTGGGCTCCTGGGACATAAATGGGGAAAAATTAGCCAGAGCTTACTTTGATCACTCTTCAGGTATCTCTTGTGAAATTACACATATGACATTGGTTGACGACAGGATTGTATGCGACTGACATCTACCCCAACCCTCTGTAAACACTAAGTGTACTGTTTTGTCCGGATTGACATATCGAGAATTGTTAATTGGAAAAAGCATTTGAGGATTGCTTGGATTTGCGAGTCTATAGTCCACTATAGGCAATTGCCTTCAGGAGAAATGCAGTAAAGGAATAAACTGAGCTGGATGTTTTGAACATAGCTTTCATTGGTTAATGGATTTGGTGCAAACCCTCAGGAGTTGTAATGACATTTCCTTTCACTGTGTAATTATTGTTCTTTCTAAATGGTTCCGACAGCATAGTCTGTCAACCTATGTGGAACATTCCCCAAAACTAGGGTAAGTTTCTGGGCAGGCATATTCAGGCCCTAAAACTTGTGCATGAATTGTGTTTCAACAAATTACATTTGCTTCAATATTACTTTCGATACTGCCCCACAGAGTAAACATTTTATTTGAGACAGAAGAGAAGAGGTTCAGCACAGTCTTCTGAAATGTGTGGTGCAGCAGTCAATCAGCTTTGAAAATGAGAGCATTTTTCATTACAGTATGGAGATCAAAACTGATCACTGCCCTAGCCTGAAACATTGTGTATTAACTTCAGGCGGGTACTGAGCTGCAATGCAGGTTGAACATAGCATGGTGCAAAGTATTACATAAGTATGCTGTAGTACTGAATAGCTTATTGCATCAACTGAATCTTTAAATGATAAGCACTGTGTATGCACCCAAGCACATGGGCAGAATTCTGCTAACTGGTGCTGAATGACATCTTATTCTTAATGTGATTCAACAGCTGAAATTGCTGCTAGCCATTTCATAACAATAAAAACCTTTTTTAGATTTGCTTAATGTCGTCTTCTTGTCAGTTGCAGCCACGAACATCAGTTTAAATATGAAACCATGTTCTGAGGGTGAATATGCGCTGTTCACCTGCTGATCTTTTCATTCAGTGCTTCAATCGTCAGGCAGGTTCCAGCCATTCCGCCCCTGGTGGAGTCACTCGTGCCTCTTTGACCACACTTTCGGTTATTTTTCTCCCTGCCTCCCTTGGCCCCCACCCTTAGCTCAGGTGCCCATTTAGCATTGTTAAATACTTTGAGACATCCTCCTGACGGGAAAGGCACTATATAAGTGTGTATTGTATTACATTGGTTATAGATGGACGATCCATCCCAAGGGTGGAAATAAATTCCCCATAGCTAGCAAACAGCGCATATTGATCCTCCCACCCAAAGAGATTTGACAAGAAACATTCTAAATCGAATCAATATCATGCATCTTAAATCACAGTATCACTATTCTTTTAGCCTGAATTCGCTCTGGTTTCCCCATCGAATTCAAGCAAATCTTGTAGCTTAAGGTCAAAAAAAGGATGCAGGTTTTAAAACTATGCCTTTATCTAGATATCACTTACATCATTGGGAATGGTGAGTTCATGAGTACTGGCCTGGGGATTGGCATCCATACCTGTGTAAATATGAGGAATAAGTGATTAGCAGTGTGCAGCAGGAGCTGTGTGTTATCCACAGAGCAACCCTTCCACTTCTACAACATAATTAGTGCTCAGTTTCACCCTACAGCCAAGCCTCTTCATTTACTCACATCCTGCTAAACTGATCGACGATCAGTTTATGTGGCTGCATGACTATCAAGATGTTTTCAAAATTTGAAAGGAATGTGTGATCATGTACACCAGTCTTGTTTTTCCATGATTTTCACAATATTTATTTTAAATTTTGGTCAACTCTTGCAATGGTGATTTTTTTTCCATTAGGATAAAATGCAGCACGAGAAGTTTCTTTAGTTGTCCTTAAACAATGTTCAATAACCTTTCTGGATCAGGCTCTTCAGATCTGCAGTCACCCATTGAAATTGGAAGTCACTGGTCCATGAATGCACAGACCATAGTTATTAGTTCAGAGGACAGTGCTCTGCTCTGAGGCTAGTTTTCTCTGGAAAGAGGAGATGAAAGGAAAAAAATGGAATGACAACTGTGGACTTGAGAATATGCCATACTCTGTAGAAACCCCAGAAACCCCAGATGTCAACAATTCAAATGGCTAATTTTATACAATAATGGAAAAATAATAACTAACATGGCGGCAGCAGCTTGAGAGCACAACTTTTAGAATTACGGTGTAATCTTTGAATAAAATCTTCTGTAGTGAAACCACTTCATTTACAAACTTGGGTGGAACCAAGTGATTATTTGAGCCTAATCATCCAATGGACATCTGCTGGTTTGGCCCTATGGCACTCTTTTAACCTGGCCTTGGTTTTAAATATATTTTGAAGAAGCTTATGCTCTCATTATACTTAGGGACTGAAAACAGAAAACCGAGTGAGGAACTGGCCCACACATCTGCCGATATGTAACAGAATATTGTTATTCCATGCATTGCACTCATGCACACTGGTCACCTTATTCTGAATAGTAAAACTCATGCATGAAGTTGGAACATGGGTTTGCATTCATATAGACAGATTGAAGCTTGACGTTGTCCTACCCTCTTCCCACCATGATGGGGAGAGTACAGGCAATAATTTCACCCATACCATTATCCCGGTGATAAGTAATAACATCTATGCGTCTTGGAGTGCATGAACATAGCACCGTAACTCGAGTATGAAACACAATCTTTGAACAGCTCAGTTGTGCCTAAATGACATTCCCATTCAACAAAAAAAACTGCTGGACAATATGGAGACTGATGTGACATTAACACTTAAAACATTGGAACAAAAGATTTGTTATTTTAGGAATATAAAATAACTTTCCACTTTTCAGGTATAAACTGGTTTCAATTTATGTCATTAAGATTGTCTGATCTCAATTGTGTCTCATGAACAGTATCAAATGATGCATTGATTTCAGTTGATCTTTCATGGATCTTGTTCAGTATAACAGATGGTAAGATTACACAGGTATGAATGACTTGGTCTGAGGTCTCATCCATAAATATACATAATTCATCCCTGACAACTCATTTTAAACAATACGCCTGTGTTCACTTTCTTCAATAAAATACTTGACGTGTTCAATAAACTGAGTCAGCTAGAGGGAAACTAGCCAAAAGTGCAAAATTACAGCAAGATCTGTTATGTACAATTTCATTAGAATTTTGATGTAGCGATTTCTTATGTCACTTATTTCCACCGGGAGAAAGATCATTGTGTCAAGTAATATTAAAATTTACCAAAAGAGATTTAAGGCAAGTGAGGATAAAATTGTAATAATTCAACAGAAATTTCATGTCAAACAAACAAAAAATAACTGGGCTAAAATTTGTTATGTAATTCAGTGAATATCTGATGGATTCAAGAATTGTTTCATTTTTCTACATGTTTATAAATTCATTTATAAAATGTTTTCGGAATGTGTATTATAAATATTGAAAAGGTTTATGGATAACTGTTTTTGGGGAGGAAGGTATTCTTGTCACAATAACACATATGAGAGATGATACATTTTCTTACGTGTCAAGTGCATCATCACGGCTGTGACAAGAATGGCAGATAGCTGTCTACTTTCCCTGCCTAAACAGGAAAGACTTTTGCAAATACTAAGATACTGACAAGTACATATTTACCATCTGCGATCAGGGGTCCCTATGCCTACCTGAGCTGTTGATCTGTCTTCCAACTACAACAACTTGGATTTATATAGCACCCTCCACGCCGGACGGCGTCTCAGAGTGTTCTACAGTAACGGATCCAGGGGGAGGAGGAAGAAAGTGACCAAAGGCACGATCGAAAAGAAAGGTCTTCAGCAGAGACCTGAAAATTGGGAGGGGACGAGGCAAAGGGATTGAGGGAGTTCCAGATCCTTGGGGCGTAGTGGCTGAAGGCACGGCCGCCAATGGTGGAGCGGAGGATTCGGGGGACAAGGAGGAGGACAGACCCAGTGGAGTGAAGGCAACGGGCACTGTTGTGAGGAGAGAGTTCAGAGAGGTAGGGGTGCAGACGAGTGGAGGCATTTCAAGACAAGAGTGAGGATCTTGAAGTCGATTCTTTCTGTGACAGTCAGCCAGTGCAGTCTGGCAAGGACTGGGGTAATCGGGGAGCAGAGTTGGTGCGGGTAAGAATGCGGGCGGCAGAGTTCTGGATCTCCATCCTTCTCCAGTCTCTCCTCCCTGATGCATCTCTGTGGCTCTGCACTTTCTTGCTTTCACTCCTATCTATCCCTTCCTAAGCATCTTCACCCCATCTTCTCTAACAGCTTTTCCATCTGGTGCAGTCAGGGCTCTATCTTTAGTCCTCTCCTTTTCCTCATCTACAGCCTCCTATCAATGTCCTCTACAGGCATTGAGTTACTCCCATATGGACCCAGCTCTGCCTCCACCAATACAGATTGCCCGTCTACTCTCAAGCAAAATAATAATAATCCTTGCATTTGTTATAGTGCCTTATCACGTCTTCAACACGCTGCAAAGCACATTACAGAATATACTGTAAATTGAAAAGACTGTATTTTGGGGTGAAACATGATAGCCAATTGCGCACAGCAGTGTCTTACAGTTGTGATTGAAGTGACCAATTTATTATTATTTTGTTTTGAAGGAATTATTAACCTCGGAAATGCGATCCGCCAATCGACTCCAACAACTGGGCTCCTACTTACTACTAGGTAAACAGAGGCGTGTGGAGTAAAGAAACTTGCCACCCATTTCGCCCTGCCTGAAATCGAACCCAGGTCTCTCGCTTGCGAAACGTGTGCTCTAACCACTGAGCTACAGGCCTCCAAGAATGCCAACAAAACCAAGGTTATCCTCTTTGGCTCCCTCCAGTGCCTTCTCACCTCAGGCATTGACTATATGCCTGACTATATGACATAATAATCCCTCCAAAACCAAAAACAATAATAAATTGGTCATTTTCCAATCTACGACTGTTTGTGGGACATTGCTGTGTGCAATTGGCTGCCGCGTTCGCCCACAAATATACAGTCAATTCACTTTACAGTATATTCTGTGAAGTGCTTTGGGACGTCCTCCCGACGTGAAAAGCGCTATATCAAATGCAAGGATTATTATTATTATTATATCAATCTTCCTAGATTCTCACTACAAAATCAGAGCTTGTCCAGAATTACAGCATTTTGTTCAAGTTTCAACTCAACTTTAAGCTTTTCATTCTGGCTCTGACCAAGCCAACTTCCTCAATCACCCAACTTCACCCACCTCCACTATCTCATGCCAACACTCACCAAGGCCACTATCACCTCCAGATTCAACTTTTCCAATGCCCAATATGATCTCCAAATCTACTATCCAATAGTTCCAGAACTCTGAAGCTCTCATTGTCTCCCACACTAGGCTCTGTGAACCCACCAGTGGCCATTCTCACCCAGCTCTAATGGGTTTCCCCATCACCCAACAGATCAACTTTAATATTCTTTAAGATCTGTATCTTCCAATGCCTCCACAGCTTTGCCCATTCTACTTCTATGATCTCCTGCATCCTACTCCGCTCACCATTCTATCCACTCCGTCAACTATGGCCTGCTTGATGGTCTCTGCCTGCTCCACCCCAAAATCAGATAACAAGCTTTCAGCCATTTACCAAAATCCCTCCTGATCTCATCCCTCTTGGCTTTCAAAACCCACCTAAAACAATTTATTTGACTGTGCCTTTGGCCACCTCTCCTCTACCCCTTTCCAGGTTCGGGTTCTCAATAATAGAAAATCAAAACTGTAGCTTCAATTGGACATAGAGTAGCTTCCTTTTTCTACTTGTTTATGCTGACCAGCACTATGAGTAATCTTATGATTCTTACTCAATTTGCCTTTACTCAGGCTCTGTGGAAACTAATATTTACTTAGTCTCCCTTTGCATCTGTACTCCATTTGTGACACAGTTAATTCATCTCATATTAGTTTCATTAGGTGGTATCTGTCACAAGCAGGCACTAGCTTCAAGGGAGAGGGGTGGGGGGAACAACAATGGAGAAAGTAGGACAACAATAATTAATAGGCTTGACCCATGTGATGTTCAGTAAGATGCAGTCACTACATATTGATTTAATTATCAATAACAGGTAGAATTCGTAATGTTTTCACCAGCTTTCAAGCATTTGTTAGCGATCCAGAGAACAGTATAGTGAAGGTGAGCTTTTCATACTCATCATAAATGTTCAATGAATTCTTGAATAAAATCTTACTTGTTAAAATTGGGTTTCACTCACTAAGACTGCTGCAATAAATATTAAATACTATGTCATACACATATATTCCCATCTCCAACTCCACTTGCAATACAATCTTGATGTTTAGAATCCTGTTCCAGTGGAATTGTATGGGTATCAATGTTGTGCAAAGCATTATGACTGACCCATATTTCAGATTTGAAATTCTTGGTTACTGCTAGCTGCTCCCTCGAGATGGACATACAGAGCAGGCAGAGTTAAATTCCATCCCAACACAGCTCTATGGATAATTCAATTCAGGTAATACCTTCACCAAACATGACTTAGAAATGTACATATGCTGAAATGTCACTCAATATCACACCAATTGAACACCTGAAACTGGTCCTGGTTGTCAAATGGTAATGGCTTTCCAATTCTACAATATCATAAAACCTCCACCCAACCCATAGAGCTGTGTTGTCCTTTGACCCGTTGCATTCTAAATGGATTTAATAAGATTTCCCGTGTACCACAGGAAATTGCAAATTAATCTCCTGAAGGTTAACAGATCTGAAGACTAATCAAATGATATCACATAAAACATAAGCATGCTACATTCAATTTCACAGTGATTTGTGCTTGCTATTTTTCCACATTTTACTTCTTATACAGCCACTATTTTCTCATGACAAGATGCTTCTTCAGTTAGATGAGATGTCTGGGACTTGTACTTCTTTAATAGATGCCATCAATTTTGCTCAGTGTTCGACAGTATGCTTCTGTAGGGTAGCATTTTTCCCATCCTCTCTAGCCCCAATTCCTCAAGATGTAGAGCACATTTACAATGTCTAGTTGAGAGAATGATCTTCAAATGGGAGATACTGTATTCCCCTACGCCGATTCATTTTCTGAATGTTCAGTAGGATGGGCTGTACCTCTGAATTGTTATTCTTTGCGCCTTGGGACGTCCTCCCGACGTGAAAGGCGCTCTATAAATGTAATTTTGTTGTTGTTGTTCTTATTTTTAAGGTCTGAAAAATGAAAATGCACCCTTGCGAAGCAAGTACAGAAGTGAGAGTAACAGGTTTGAGCTGAAGTGCTGTCCAGGTGCTTTGTCCCTGTTGCCAGATCCAACAGCATAAACTTCTTCATTCCATTATTGGGTACCATTCTATCCAAGTAAAGTTGCTTCACAGAGTACACGTGGAATACTGAATATTTGTGAAAAGCATCAAAAACATATTTTGATGTACAACACTACATGCTGCAGATTACCATTAGGATAATCATGAGAGGATTATCAAATATTTGATACTGAATTTAAAACCAATTTTCCAGTTGTACAGATGCTGAAGATCTGTTAAAGATCATTGTTGGGCAAAGCAATTTTCTGCACTTCAAATTACTTGTTCGAACCTGAAAACTGTTGCATATTTTATCTTTGGTGCAGTTCTGTGTGCATTGATATGCAAAATTAATTTAATATTTCAGGATTATCCATCACATTGATACTGAAGAGGACAAGGAGGCTGTTGGATTTAACCAAGATACATAAAACCACAAGAAACTGAGCCACACCAAAATTACACATCGACTTCCTTCCACTGGAACAAAGTATGCCACGGTACCAGCTTAAAAATAATAGAAACATATTATGCTTTATCTTACAATTTTGTTAGCTAAACATTTAAACCTGAAGCATTGAATATATATCCATTCTAAAAAAACAAAAACAAAAACTAAGAGAGAGAGAAAAGTAGAGAAGAAAGAGAGGTGCCAAGAAAAGGAGCTGAATAGGGCACAGTGGGTACGTACCAGGGAAACCAGGGGTGGTCTGCCCAAGGGGAGTAAAGGGGGTATGCTGCATAGCCAACTGGTGAAGCTTGGTCAACTGCTGGGGGGTAGGAGGGGAAATTAGAACTAACTGATTACTTTACAATAACACAAACACTACTCTTAGAAACAAAAAAGAAAGTCAGTTCACAATGAACCATGTGGCAACATGGCAAACACTTGATTTGATGGAAAATAAGATTTTTTTTAAATTGCAAATTGCCTGTGTCTTGTCTCCCACCCCACTCCCTTTCTTAGTGTCTCCCACTAACACAAGGATCTAGCCAGGAGGACTGGTGAAAGCCACTGGGAATTCCTTCTGTCGGGTGAGTGAGTGAGACTCGTCCTCAGCTCTGTGAGCCAGCCAGCAAGTTGGTCAGATTTTTTCAGAAAGTAGATATAGGTGAGCCAGGCTCTAAGAGAGCTACTGACATCATGTGATGGAAAGATCGGAGAGTCAGCTTCTATTGGAACTCAAACATACCCCAGTTTTCTGATTCTTCATTACAGTTTTTTAATTCCATTTTTCCTCTCAAGGACTCTGGTCTCCATGCAGCCTCCTTCAACTGGGAAGATGGGTGAGCGAGCTGCGGACTTCTCCACAACGTCGATGTCAGCGCTGTTTTGTACTCAGCCGACAGAAGGCACGCATCCTGTGGAGCAAGATGGCCAGTGTCAGAGTTGAGATGCTCCAATAGCATGAGACACCCTGCCTTGCTGTCTGACTGAGAAACTGAAGAAACGCATTGTAAGTATGGTTGGAGGATAGGAGAGTCCGATATTGCTGGCATCAAAGAAACTCCTCAGAAATGTGCCTGCAGGATTCACGTTTCAGAAAGCACAGTGTCTCAAACCATCAATGAAAGTGTGAGAAGAGCTTTTAAACCACTAGATTGTGGGCCAGACCTTCATTCTCTTTACCACGGCAATATTTGTTTTGAATTTCAGAACTTTCTGCATATACAGTTTAGGTCTATATTCCTTTTTATTCAAGAACCAGACAGAAGTTTGATTATTACTTAAAAACACAACCAGAGAGAATAGAGCAGCTAAAAATCTGAACAGTTAATATGAGAAAGTCTTGCCTCGCTAGTGGGTTAGATGTTTCCTGACATAACAAGCTATTTCATTTTACTTGTATCAAGTTAGTATAAAATATATCCTTTCTATAAATAGCTGATAATAACAAAGAAACTTCAGGTCTTGTAATATCAACATACCTCAATTCTTAAGTCTAGGCATGTTGCATATAGTACACATATAATTATTGGGTTGGGGAATAGGGAAAGCAATGAGGGTTGACAAGGTAGTATATGACCAGTTCCAGATGGTACACCATAGTCAAAAGTGCAATAATGTCATATTGACTTGTAACTAGTGTTTGTATTGGGTGTATGCGCCATGTAATGTAGGTGAAGCTGTAGGAAGCCTAACACGAAAGGATTGAAGTTTCAGTCCATTGTGCTGACTCAAAAAAATCTGATGAAAAGATTAGGTACATCATTTCTTAAGAGTCAGAAGAAACTCTGAAATATAACTTCCTGGGAGACTGTTAACAATAAAAATATGCTGTGACTTATGTTTGAAGTGAATCCTTTCTTGCTCTGAATGTAAATGGTGCCTTGAGTGAGATGGGATCTTTAATGCCCACTTGAACAGACAGGAAGTATTGATAGTAGTACTATTTGTGTCAGCTTGGCTTAGTAATAGCATTCTCGCCTGAGTTAGGTTGTGGGCTCAAGCCGCATGTCAGGATTTGAACTCACAGCCTAAGGTGAGTGCTGAGGGTGTGTTGTATTGTGGGAAGTTCGGATGAGACGATAAATCAAGGTCCTGTTTGGCCATTCAGATGGATATTAAAGATTTTATGGCACTGCTCAAAAAGAAAAGGGAGTTTCCCCTGGTATGCTGCTGGTCAACAATCCCCAAATAAAATTGGTCATTCATCATATGGCTGCTTGTGGGACGTTGCTGCACACAAATGGGCTGCCGCATTTATCTAAACAATAACAAATTATATTTAAATAGTGCCCTTCACGCCGAGTAGCAACTCAGATACACATCACTCCATTTCACAGTAAATCCTGTGAAGCACTTTGGGACGTCCTCCTGAAATGAAAGGCACTATACCAAATACATAGCATAGAGATTCCTAACTGTGTCTGTGCCAATTGAACCATTCAAGACATCACTTCTCATGATAATCTGATGTCAAAATACCTTGCTGGTAAACAGATAATAGTACAAATCTGTCTGCCAACCACAACTTTAGGTAGTACAGAGGAGAGCAAGAAGGATGAACCTAGTATTACAGGAATATGCTATTAGCAATGATTAGACAAGCTAGGGTTCTAAAGATTTGAAAGGAGATTTCTCAGAATGTTGTTAATAATAATAAAATTTGAAATGGGATTCATAAAGTAAATATACACTGAAACAGTAGAACAAGATGACACAGGTTTAGCTTTTGCAAAGGGGAATTATAGGAAAGACACAGGGAATTATTTCTTTATCCAGAGAGTAATTAGTGACTTAAACAGGTTACTAGGAAAGGCCTTCTTCATCTATACCGATCTTATGTCTCATCTAAAAGATGTATGAACACAGTATTCCCACAATACTGCATTAGAGGGTCTGTCTCCAATGAGTGCAAATTCCTGTTTTAATTTCAGTCCGCAGCTTTTATACATGAGTTTGAGTTCAGCAATTTTATCGATTATTCTTTGTTCAAACAGAGCGTGGTGAAATTTTGAAGCAGTGGTTGAACCAATATAGTTAAAGAGGAAACTGGACACATACATAATGGAGGAACAATAGAGTAAAGAGGGGTATGGAAAAAAGGCTCGGGAGGGCTATTAAGATTGGTGGAGGCTCAAGTGAAGTATTAATACAGGCACAGATCAGTTCGGCCGAATGACCTGTTTCAGTGTTGCAGATTATATGTATGCAATTCTATGTATGTACAATATTCCAAGAAGCTGCAGTATAAGTTTAGGTGATAACACAAAGTATCTGCAAGATGTTCAGAAGAATCAGCACAGAGGGAAGAAGATTGATTCGCCTCTACGGCCACCTCAATAAAGATGTTCTTTATCTTTATACTAAAGCCATCCAAATCATTGACCTAATAACGGAAGCAGGTTAATAGGAAGGCTGCAGAGACCACAAAAGCTTAAGTTGCCAAGCAAGAACTAATTTTGAAATAATGGGTTATGCTACATAGTATTAAACTGAACTCATCTGAATTTTACAGAACTAATTCATGCTGTTAGAATTCTGAACGTGCCATAGTGTTAATGTTGAACCCAACTGAATTTGTCTCAATGACAATTGTGTTATGATTGCGTGCATGATAGTTAAATGAAAACAAATGTTAGTAGTAAATTGAACAGAATGTTGGCCAGTGTCTGATACCTCCTCTCCCCTGAAACTGGAGTCAAACAGTATCATTGTGGTTGTACTGACAATCAGGCTAAACTGTGACAAATCTTTTAAGCTAGTTTCTGCAGGACAGCTCTAAGTAAGCTAAAATTAACAATCACAAACTTGCACTGGTCTGAAATCCTGATCCCTTCCATGGTTGAGTGTTTGTCTAGGATCCTATTGGAATTTCTTCAACAATAAAGCACAATGCTCTTGGAGAACAACAAACATGTACATAAATGTTCATTAATGTATTAGTATTTTAACTTCAGCCTTGTGGCTCAGGAACAGAGGTAAGTGATAGCCATCAGTAAAGATCTTGTCACTGCGAAAACATCAGGCCAAGTCGCATTGCTTACGGAGCAATACGGCTACAGGAATAGGAAGGTGTTGGTATTCAAGACAATGTATTTTCCTTATTTAATGTTAATTTTGGAAGTTGGGGATCTGCTAGCTTTGAACTCAGCCTGGAGCTAGTAAATATCCAAGATTGCAGGTTGAAATAGATGTTGAAAATCACTCATCAATGGCATTTGAAGACAGAAACTGCTGTATTCGTGAGAGTGGAGAAGGATGAAAATTTATTTGTGATTATTAATCAATCACTGAAAGTTTCCAGCCAATGTGGAACTGATAAAGTAAATCAGCACCTCAAGAGTGTTTGACAAAGTTAGAATAAGATATTTGTATAAAACCCCGAAGAGACAACACTTGGAAAACTCTACGTAATTCTGATAGATGGTGAAAACATGTTGGAGAAAGAAGAACATGGATAATTCCAAGACTTAGAGCTCTAGATTATCAAAGGCTCAAACGAGCTAAAGTTTTTCTCATTAGAAAAAGATGGGGATGAGGAGGAAGAGAAACATGATTCAGCACTTTAGAATAATGAGACATAGATGAGAACGATGCAAGAACGCTATTTGACTTAAACCATCAGAAATGAACTAGACGTCAGGTACAAATTAAAAAATTGAAAAGCCTCAAGCACAGGTGGAGATCAGAAGAAACTATTCTTCAAAGAGCTGTGGATATTTGAAACAGGCTTCCACCAAAAGCAGTTGATTCTATATTACGTATTACTTAACTCCTTTAAAAGAGAAAGGATATTTATATACTTGGATACAGTATTAAAGGATAAAGAGGGAAAACACAGATTGAGATGTACAGATATTCCACAGGACACGATAATTGCTGTACTGCTGGGGATTTGGACAAAATGAGGCCACATAGAGCACATGTAGGATGAACATTTTGCATTTGCTGGACTACTTTTGTGGCCAGGAAGTATCAGTGTGAAATGTTTGCCTACGAAGTAAGAGTGAGTTGAATGAAATCCATGAAAGGACAGGCATTGTGTGGCCTATGGAAGGAGCAAGTTTATTTGGCAAAATGGCTTGTTCCACGTTTTCTGAATAGTCTAAAGATTTTTGTTTTCTTATCTGCAATTCCACAGAATTCCTTCTAGCGGCACTAACTAACCTTGCAATGGTGACAGTTTTGACAGTTTTAATCCTCCCCAGGAAGGCAGTCAATAGCTCTTGTGCTATTTAAGCACTATCTGCTGATAAAATAGCCTTCAAAATCTTGAAAGGTACTACTGTACCCATTGAGGTTTAGTACCGTTTATAATTACCAGCAATAGGATATACACCCTCCTGCGGGTTTGTCATGCCAGGTCATTCTACTGATGTGCTACAATCTTGTACTACATGGTGATATTATACAATATGAAAATGCAGTAATTTCTTACCCAATTCCTATTGCCTACAATTTTCAATTAATTTTGTTGGTATCTGTATTGGAAATGGACAGTTGGCTCCTGCCTGTGATTAGCCTACTAACTAATTTGGGGATTTATTTTGCCATCCTACACAGGGTAATAAGATAAATATATAGGCTAGAAAGAATTTTTTGTTTAACAAATCCATCATATCAACATAGTGCAGCATTCAGGCTCAATTTCCTGAAAATTAAATTTAACTAATCGGGGGGAAAAAAACCTGTTCAACTCATACAGAACATTATCTATCCCTAAGAGAGCGAAACACTGGCCACACAGAGTGCATGGTGGCATTCAGGATGGATTTGAAACAACCAAAACTATTGCAAGAAAGTGGGACTTATTTTCCATCAAATGCTCTACTTTAAAACATAACTAGAATATAACAAAGTGATCAGTTAAAACAATTACTGGAGATCACATGTACGCAGACAGCTACAAACATTAAATCTCAAGACTTTCATTATTAATATTGGTTAATAGTAGTAACATACATAATCATGCATTTTATTTTCCATTTGACATCATGAATAGGATAGGTAGAAAGGGGGGGAAAAAACTCACATCTGGGTGTGGAATGGCATATTGTCCCTGAATTGTATAGGCCTGTAAAAATGAAATAAAAAAAATTCTTCTTCAGAAGTTCTTTGTCTAAGAAATCATCCACATCAACATCACTGAAAGCACGCGACCTGTGCCTAATGCCACTATTCTGGAATGCATTTTGTCTCAGCAAGCATTTTATCCAATAATTTCAGTAAAGAAGAAAAAATATGAACTTTAAGACAGAATATATGATTAAGTAACTGAGGGGCAGATATACAGATACGGTATCTATTTTATCTACTATACAAATCTTTGTTAGAATTTAATTCCGTACCATACAGTAATTTGGACATTGAGCAGTCATTTGGAGGTCACCATTAGCTCTCTCGGCACTGGCATTTAATAGTTAAATGGTAACACAGTAAATATTGTAGGTTACTGAACTGGGATTCCTATTGAATTATGAAAGATTTGTGCTGTATATATGTCTATATCAGAAAAAGGCTTCCTTTTTAAAAGATTTTCTTCAATGTTAGTTCTTCACTAAAATTGCAGTATAATTGCTAACATTTCTGACATTGAGCATATTGCTTTAAATTAAATGCACTTCTGTATAAATAGTCTCTAAGGAGATTACCATTGCAAAATATTTTATAAAACCAGTAAATTAAACAAGGATTACAGTTCTATATTGACAAATAGTACAAAAAGGTTGTAACTGGAGAGAACTGAATGGTCACTTTCCAGTTAGTTCTGGTCACTACAAAGTGATAATTGTAGGGCTATTCTGGATCGGTGTACAAACTAACATAGCAAAGAAGGGTAACATTTAAGAGAATCTTTCCTAAGAGTCTACAGGAAGCTGAATAGTATAATTTCAAAGCAAATGACATTCCTGTTATAGACATGATTGTTACTGAGACAAATTGCATGTCTAGGATGTACTAGAACTACACCACAAATATCAGCTTACATACAGGTCTATAACACTCAAGACACAGACGCACACATTCACACACACAAACAAACACACACACACACACAATAGGAGTTGTCTAAGCGGTTTCTGAGCCAACCGAGTGGCCATTAGGATATAACATGCAAGTGAAGATGAGAAACCTGAATGCACTAACAGGCAGTGGCTGGTGCTGCAGTAAGAGGCTGAGGTTGGCTGCGGAGGCTGACAGGGGATCTGCTCTTACCTGGCCACCTGCAAAAATGACGGGGGCAGAGGCGGGCTTTGGGCGGTAGGGGATGGTGGCACCTTTCGGTGGGGACTAGGAGGGACAGGGAAAGCATGTTAGAAACAGCATTAGAGCAGGTTCAACTCTGAAAAAATAAAGGCAATTTCAGTCATAAAACAGAGAATGTACAGTAATCACAGGCACTTGGTGAATGGCAATATTTCTTCATGTCTGCCTTGAATTCATTTGAGCACCAAGACAACTACATAATAAATATTGAATTTCATTGACAGAATTGTTTCTTTAGATATACAGAACAGATTGTAGAAATTAAATATTTTATATAGTAGCTTCTTACAAGTTGTATAGAAAAGAAAATGAACTCAAAAATATTATCCACACTAGCAACACAATTTCAATCATTGCTGGGATCTGAAGTCAAAACATCAATATGTGACAATCCTGCCAGTGGTGAGTTTTCTTCATCTCTGTGGTCTTACACTGCATGTTGTGATGAGGATTCTAGGAACATGGGAGTGCTACGAAGTAGTATACATATCTGCCTATTGAAAGGTTCCAGTGAGAATTAGAATCAATAAAATAGCAAAATTTTCTGACCAGAAACTACATTTCAGAACATATCTAATGTACGTTTTATGCTCAGTTCCTTCAGCTCCTGACTTGCATGAATCCAGTCACTTATAATGTCATGTGCTCCTGCTTTACTGTTCTGACCCCAACTGCTGTAAAGCCGTATTATTCCCTAAAAGATACCAACAATTGGACCCAAAAAGATCAAAACTATGCTGTGAAGGAAGCACATTAACTCCTATGCCAGCAATATAACAGGGGTTTGGACTCTGACTGTATTTCTTAAAACAGACATTGTTGTTTTATGAAATGCATCCTCCATAACCCTTCTGGTGGTATTCATCTTAATTTTTTGTAGCATTGTGATTAGTGTTACTAACATTTTGTATTGCACGTCTTCAAACACCACTAATTTAGAAGCAGTGTTTCTTTTTAAATGCTGAAGGGTCCAAAAGGCTTGATAATACTCTTTAGTAACTATTAGACAAAGTGTCTGAAGACTGTAAAATGGAAATGTATCACTGTATATACACAAACTGTATACACACTATATACACAAAAAATAAAAACAGTGTCAATAAAGACTAGATTCTGGAGTTTGCCTGAAACTTTCAATTAATGGAACCAGAAGTTTTGCTCCTGTATACAGATCCCGATTCAAAGGATACAGAACTGTGTAATTAAAACATAAGGAAATCTGTCTTCATATTGTATTGTCTCTGTGTGCTGCTTTTAATCACAAATCCATCTACTGTAAATATGTTTCTAGATTATGTCCAATAAAACCTCGCAAGGAAACATCATAATTTAAACAGTTCTATATATATTCGGATTTGAGTACTGAACATTATCTCCACTTTGTCCCCTGCTTGAATTTGCAGACATGTTCTGAATTATAAAAGGAATTTAATTTTCAAATACATTTTTTGCTATGATGTCATTTAGAAACGAAAACCTCAGAAAATTGGTCACTTCTTTCAAATTCATTGTTCTTGACACTCCCCTTGTACTCTACCTCCAGCATTACCACACAGATCTGCTTCACACACTGGATGATGGCATCTGGCATCCCCGAGATTGTTACTGCACGCTCAGTGGAATTAGGTAGCATGTCCCCTGCCACCTGGACCTGAGCCCCTGTCGACTGGAGAAAGATATATATTAGGTCATAGAAAATCTGTTGGTATCCAGTCTTCATGTGTTCTTATAACATCCAGGTACAATTTGATGTGTTATCAATTCTATGTGCTATTGTAAATGTCTCTAATTTTGTAGTAATATACATTATTCCTTCTTTGCTTTGAAATGGAGTGAGCTAATTGGTAGGCTTCACAGTTGGTAGCACTATGGCCTTTCATCAGAAGATTGTTGGCTGAAGCTCAGGACTTGAACTCAGACTCGGCTGACATGCCGACTGAGGGAAACACTGCATTGCTGGAGTTGCCATGCTTTGGAAGAGATGTTAAACCGAGGTTTGTCTGCCTGGTCTTCAGGCTAACATTAAGATCCCATAGCACTATAAGAAAAGCAAAGGGAGTTTCTTCTAGTGTCCTAGCCACCAATTCTCCACATAAATTGTTCATTCAACTCATGGCTGTGTGCAAAATTGGTGCTAGGTTGCTTACAAAAAAAATCACTATACTTTAGCAGTAATTACTGTGATGAATGTGGCGATGTTTCTATGTCGATTTGAAATTGCTCCAAGGTGACATGTTTGGCAATGGAATTTCAAAATCGAGCCTACCCTCTGTGGCGTCTCAATAGTCCTGAGCCAGGCGAGTCTGCATTACTCCAGGGCACTTCTGATGGCAGCACTGCCAGCCTGGCTCATCGGGAGGACTTGGAAGGGCAGACCAGTCACTGGGGACATGGTGACTGTCCCCAGCTCAGCTCCCATTAACCCTAGAAGCCAAAGCTCTAACAGATTTGGTGGTCCTAGCTGGACAAGCAGCACAAAACCTTGCCAGACAGTGCTCTCAATGGCAAGCTATCCGGTATTAGCTAGTTAGATTCCAGCAGTACCCCCAACGCATTCTCTGGGGTCTCCAAACCTTGGTTCTTGCCAACCTGCGCCTGATACTTTCTGGGATTAGGTAAGCAGGATGCGTCCCTCCAGGGAGTGTGCATTCCATTCCAACAATTTAACTCTGGAATTTCCATGTGTAGGTGGATGCAGGGTACTCTGTTTTGTTTGGATAATCAAGCTGGGTTTCCGCAAGTGCCAGACTAAAAAATAATCAATGTGAAGGGCACAATTTCTTTCTCACTCCATGCCTACAAAAACAGGAACAGCTTGCACTTATACGCAGGGTAGCGTCTCAAGAGTGCGGGACTTGAAAAGGCGGGACTTGAAAAGGGGGAGAGAGGGGGCAAGGCAGAGGGATTGAGGGACAGTGTTCCAGAGTTTCGGGGAGTAGTGGCTGAAAGTCCGACCTCCGAAGATGGGGCAGAGGGTGCAAGGGACGGCCAGAAGGCCGGTCCCAGTCGAGTGGAGGCGCCAAGTGGTGGATTGGGGAGTGAGGAGGTCGGAGAGGTAGGGAGGTGCCAGGGAGTGAATGGATTTGAACACGAATGTGGGGATCTTGAAGTCGATCCGTTCGGTGATAGGGGGCCTGGCCAGAACTGGTGAGATGTGGGTACGGAGCTTGGTCCGGGTCACTATGTGGGTGGCAGAGTTCTGAATGAGCTGGATCTTTTGAATAGTGGAGCTGGGGAGACCAGTGAGGAGTGCGTTGGGAGTAATCCAAGGTGGAGGTGACAAATGCATGCACAAGGCTTTTGGCTGCATTTGGGGTAAGGTACAGTCGGAGGTGGGCAATGTGGCGGAGGTGGACGAAGGTGGTCCAGGTCTGGGGCTGGATGTGGGTAAGGTAGGGCAGCTGGGGCTCGAACTGGATGCCTAGATTGCGCACTGGTTCAGTGAGTCTGAAGGAGAGCCCAGGAAGGTTGAGGAGATCAGATCCGCGAGGGTGAAGATGTTGACGGGAGCCAAGGAGTATGGCTTCCGTCATTCACATTCAGCTGCTGGAGGTTTGCACTCATCCAGGCCCTGATGTCTGCCAGACAAGCTGATAGAATATCGGCAGACCTGGAGTTGGTACTGGAGGAGGCAAAGTAGATTTGTGTGTCAGCTGCACTCATGTGGATTTTTACCTCGTGTCTGTGGATGACATCGCCCAGAGGGAGCATATAGATAAGAAATGGAAGGGGGCCAAGGATGGAACCTGGGGTACCCCACAGGTGACCGGTCGGGGGAGGGAGGAGAAACCCCTTGCCGAGATTAAATGGAAGCGGTTGTTTAAGTAGGACTCATAACATGCGAGTGCAGTCCCACTAAGGTAAATGAGGGAGGAGAGCCGATGGAGAAGGATGGCATGGTCGACTGTGTCGAATGCAGCAGAAAGATCCAGGAGGATGAGGAGGCAGAGTGAACCCTGGCCTCAGATAGAGAGAATGTCATTTGTGACTTTGACACAGAGTCTCTGTGCTGTGGGCAGAGTGAATACCAGTCTACGGGGAAATGAGGAGGGAGAGCTGTGACCGAAGTTGACCTGCAACAATGCATTCCAGGACTTTGGCAAGGAAGGATAGATTGGACATGGGACGGTAGTGTGCGAGATTCTAAAATATGTTAGAACTATACAAATTTACAGTGTAGACGGTGGACATTTAGGCCAATGTGTCTGTGTTGGCTCTTTTAAATAACAATCTTTTTAGTCTGATTTACCTTCACTTTCCCAACAACCCTGTAGTTTTAATGTTGCAAATGAAATATTGCTCTAGGATTCCTATTAATATCCACACCATCGGTCGATAGGTACTCTACTGAATGTTTAATTTGGTAACCTCCAAATGTGTGCTATATCATACATCAATCAGAACAGGCAACAATGCATGTGAAATGAATGGCCTCAGAATACTCAGCTATGGACAACAGTTTTCAATCTTGGGATTGAAATGCTTTAGGGGAAAAAGATGATTAATAATTTTGATTTTTTCATGAATTAAATACCTCGCGAATCTCTTTGATCTTGGAGCCTCCTTTTCCAATCAGTGATCCGCACTGACTGGCTGGTACAACAAGTCGCAGGGTCACAGGAGGTTTACTGGTAGCTGGACTGTTCGTCATTGAATTATTTATGTCCTGAAATAGGAAAGAAGTTCAGTAAGACTGTTCAATATACTGGTTTCAAATTTGTTGAAACATTTCATTTGTGTAATCAATGAAATATCTCAGATTCCGAGCATTTGCAGTTCTTATTTCTACTATTTTCTGTAATAAATCTATCTAAATATAACTCAGAAAACCTTTCCTTGATGCACCTCTGTCCTCCACCTACTGTCCAATCTCCAACCTTCCTTTCTAAAATCCTAGAACGAGTCGTTGCTTCCCAGCTTCCCTCTCCCTGTATGAACCTCTCCAATCTGGTTTTCATGCTTCTCATAGTACAGGCACAGCCTTAGTCAAAGTTACAAATGACATTCTGTCCATCTGTGACCACGGCTCTCTGTCTCCTTGGGCGCCTTCGACACGATTGACCACTTTACTCTTTTCCACTGCTTCTCCACTCAGCTCTGTCCTTGCCTGGTTTCACTCTTACCTTTCCCATCGTCTCCACTTTGTATCCACTAACGGTTTCTCCTCCTTGTGATGTTGATAATTCCAAAGTGCTTGAAATCTTTGTTTCCTGCATGTAAATTTCAGGCTAGAGATTTTGCCAGTGGGGGAGATTCCCATCCCAAGTCAGTGGGCAGCTCTGCTGTGATTAGGATTCAATTGAACCTCTTAAAGTATGGACTTAACCTGCCAAATATGGATTTCCACTGCGGAGTCTAATGGATTCCCATTTTCTCAGCAGGAAAAATATTAATGAACAATATGGCTTAGTGGCCTTCTCATTAGCACCTCTATAAGCTATTTACAATCTTTGAATACACTTTGAGGACACACTGAATGTAACCTGCATGATGTAATCAGCTCGGGTCCAAAACTCTTGACTGTCCGGTGCCTTGAGACATCCTCTCGATGTGAGGAATGGGTGCCCTTCAATACAATTCTGTTGTTTCAAATTAATAAAACATTCTGATGTAACTGTCCCTCAATAGCGAAATAACTGACTAGTGTTGACTTATACTATTCACGTCTTGAAGGCTTCAGGTTTGATTCCTGGTCTGTGTTAGATGAACAGACAGAGCAGCAGTGGAACTGGCATAGCATCCCGGGGGAGGGGTGAGGGGAAAGATGGCAGAAGAGGTAAATAAATTGGTCAGAATTCATAATCACTGTCATTTAAAGTTAATGTTTATAGCTTTCGGGTAAGGACAGGATCATGTTCAGTTGTGATAGATCCTGTAGTTGAATAACTTGCTGACACTTGCCATCTTCTAGCGTGCTAGCCAACAATTCTCCACATAAATTGGTCATTCAACTCATGGCTGTGTGGAAAATTGTGCAAATGAAAAAGGCCACTTGAGTGAGGAAAGGAAGGACAAAGGAAAGTGAAAGGATGGGGGATGGAGGGGGGAGAAATCAAGACAGGAAATTGGAGGTCAAAAATATTCTCCAGTGAAATAATGAAGTGGCAGGTGGCAGACTATACATTAATTACCATAGAATGTGGCAGCCTACAGCAGTCTTGCAAAAAATGTAACTTTTGGAAAAGCTAAAGTACAAGTCTGAAATAAGCCCAAGAAAAAAAAGTTTCAGCCACTGTTCTCTCCTATGTTTCCATCTTTTGCAGAGCGGATTTCATCAACATATGGAAATGATGCATTCAAGAAGCTCCTACCTCCTCAAACTTAAAGGCAATCATTGCAAAAGCCTTGAATATTGCATCAGTTGGGCCCGTGATGGTCACGATTCTCTCGGGGCAATTTCCTTCAGAGATATTAATCCGCGCACCGCTCTGAATAAACAAAAATGTCCACGTTAGTCCAGAAATCAGATGAAGCGATATGGAATTTCAGGGTTGAAGTAAAGTGAACTACGCATTAGACCTACCTCCTCTCGCATCTTCTTCACAGTTTCCCCTTTCTGAAAGATAACATATGCAAAGCATTTCAATACAATACATATTGCATATGGAATTCACATTTTAACAATGTGCTATCCTACGGACAGGAAATTGTGACAGGTCCAGTTACAGACCAATGGGATATGGTACAGGAGAAATAGCTGAATGAAGAATTTAGGTTGATTGCAGACTTTGATTGCAGATTTACAAAAATATTGATAGTTGATAAACTGAAAGAGCTCAATGTATTCATCTCTGAAACAATGATAGGGATTATACCACCGAGAAACTATCACTTCCATGGATTAAATTAAGTGATAGAAATACACAAATAACACTTTTTTTTGGTCAGCCAGGTGTCTTGACATATGCGGAAACCCATCACCATCACCCAATACCGTAAGAGTATCCAAATCAAGCTGGAGAAACCAAACCAACAAATAGTGCTAGTGAGTAGAAAATATTATATTTTTAAAACTATAAGTGCATGGAAAATGATAATACAAACCTTTCCAATGATACTCCCAACTTCCTGCAAATTATAAAGAAAGATAACATTTAGTAACTCAGCCTACAGATTGTCCAGACTTCAAGGGTACTGAAATAATTTCACAAGTATTTATATGCAAACTATAGGAATGGTTCATCAGGTCTGTGAAAGTAACAAATTGCAATAAAGCAACAGAACATTTACAGTCATGAGAAACAAGAGTATCTGCAAAACAGGAACAAGTTTCTTCTGGCACATACATTGCCTGGAAAGAAAAGGAGGGAGGTACAACAGCACAGCATGTTAATGCACCAACCTGCTATGACACGCTGTGTTGGGGTGATGCTCCCACAAACCCCCCACAATGAATTCTCAGTATCAGGCATGCTGTGGAGAAGATGCTGAGTGGAGAGCAGGTCTTTCCCACAGAGTGAGAAAGAAGAAAAACAGAGGGCGAGTCACCCCAGGTGATGTGGTTCAAGAACAGCAGTGGCACAAGTCTGGGAGAAGGTTGCCCACCTGCCTATTCAGGAGGGTAGGTGGAAAGAGGGGAGTTGTGCAATGGTAAGGGAGAATAGAAGGGCAAATTAAAAAAAAATCTGGATACAAGCAGTAACCCGACTGCCCAGTTTAAGCATGCACAGTAGATAATATGGTTGAAGGAGAGAGCAGCGATGTGACTTGGCAGTGGGTTTTTTTCTTACTTGGAAATTTCAGGAGAAATCAACTTCAGGGATGGGTGACAGACAGAAAAAAAAATATCACCTCCCTCCTCCACTTGTTGTCAAGGGTTACAAACGAGAGGATTTCTGACATCCCTGCCAAGTCCATGGTGAACAATCCTGAGTTCAAAGCAGAAAATTGCACCTTATTCAGTAATCTCTGCTCTGAGGTGCCAGAGTGCCATAGTACTGAAAATGGAAAAATGGCAACTACGCTCACCGACAAAGTGAGGATTATGGTTTTACTGCTGAAATGACATTAACAGCGTTTAGTGCTTCCGAGTAGCACTATCCACTACCTGATTCATCAATGCTTGAGAGTTAAAATGGGGAGAGAAAAATCTTGCCTATACCGAAAGACTACCAAAGAATATGAAACTATTGCAAACTGATTTTACTACAGAACTTGTTTTAATGTATTTCGCCTCTTTTTAACCCAATAACTGGACACTCACAACGATACATCATGGTCAGAGTCATAGATCTTGCTTTTGAATACTAGCTGTGTTAACTGATCAACGGGAGGCGTTACATTTCAATTGAGGCTGTTTCTCCTCTCCACCACCACCAAAGGAAATTAAGCTTTTTGTAACTATGTGAATATCCACCTTGCAACTTTGTTGAGGAGACAAAACTCACCCAAAACGAAAAAAGTGAGCATAAGTGATGGGAAGACTTACTCAGTTGCTGGAGCATGGAATGATTTTTAGAATTGGGAGTTTAATTCATTTCATGTTTACGGACAGTCACAATGACGTGGGATGATAGGACTGGAGGAACTATCTTGTTTGATTCTTTGTTAAGTGACAGCAAGTAGCATTTCTGAGTCAGGTATAATGAGTTAAAATGCAAAGCTCTCACTGAGCTAAAAATGGCAAACGTACAACCAGAATCAGTGGCTGACTTGTTGACTTTGGCATTTAAACTTCAACATTTTGGTACTGTCATGCATAATGTGAGCTTAACCTAACCAACTCAAACTTACTGGTGACACTTTACTGCCAATGGAACCAAGGGCAGCTACAATTCCTTCTTTCCAATGTTCTCCACACTCATTCCTCCTCTCTACTTCTTCCTAGTTTGGAGGATACATCATTGAAGCAAGCTCCAGGAGAGGGTCATTCACCACCAACTTAAGAGCATCACTGCATGTTCCATTTGCACTGCAGTGAACATCACAAAGGGAGCATGATTCCTATCTGTAGCTGCTGATCCTCTCTTCCTTAGGAAATCAGTTGTGATTTTTCTTGAATGAGTGCACGATATTTGTACAACCAAAAGCTGGCATTTATATAGTCTCCTTAATGTCGGACAATGTGGGAGTGATCCACAGAGACAAGATCAGATCCTGAGCATGGAGTTGTGGTAGGGTACCATAGAGATCAAAGAGGTAGTTTTTTGGCAAGATTTTTAGACAGATGGAAGGGTAGAAGGAAGTATATATATATATAATAATCCTTGCATTTGATATAGCGCTTTTCACGTCATCTGGACATCTCAAAGCGCTTCACAGAATATACTGTAAAGTGAATTGACTGTATATATTTATGGGTGAAACGCAGCAGCTAATTACGCACAGCAGTGTTCCACAAACAGTCGTGGATTGAAGTGACCAATTTTGTTATTGTTTTTTTCTCTTGAGGGATTATCATCAGGCGAGTGGAGTAAGGAAACTTGCCCAAGGTTTCGTCCTGCCAGGAATCGAACCCAGGTCTCTCACTTGTGAGGCAAGTGCTCTAACCACTGAGCTACAGGACTCCACATAATAGAGGTTATGTGCATAATTGCTGAAGTATCATATGGGAGCCGGTTTGAGATGACCAACAACCCTTAGGGTGACAAAATAATAATAATAATCCTTGAATTTGGTTATCACGTCATCGAGACATCTCAAAGCACTTCACCGGATATGAGAAGTACTTCTTGCCAGCCTGAAGTGATTCTTTTCGAGTCTGAAGGTGTTGCTATTCTGAAGCTCTGGAGCATGTGTTCAATGTGAAGATTGTCAATTGCAAGCAAGATCTTGTAGACCTCAACACGATTTCTCCTCTGCTCCAATGTGAACAGGCCCAGTTCCTGAAGCTATTGACTGGATGGGTGCCCTTTAATCGATGAAATTATTTTGATGGCTCTTCTCTGAACCTTCTCCAGTGCCACCACCTTCTTGTCTAGGTAACGCACCCAAAGCTGAACACAGTATTCAAGGTAGGACCAAGCCAGAGCATCGTAGAGTGTCAAGATAAATTCTTTACATTTGTAAATGTATTGCTGTGCTAACCCCAGCACCCAGTTAGCAACAACAGGCTCACATAATTGTTGAAGCTCAACTGTGTGATCATTGATAACCCCTACGTCTCTTTCTTAATCACCTGTCCCAAGAGGAACCTCTCTCCTAAGCTAATGAAACTGGGGGCACCAGAGTATTATACTACATTTCACAATATTAAAGGATATCTGACAACCTCTCCCCAGCTGACCTCTCTGGTGATCAGATGCTTAGATGATTTTTCAAAAAAATGTTTTTGCTGCAACAATTTTTAGCTTATATATGCAAGTGAAATGTGCTTTCGAAATTTTTTTAGTTTTCAAGGAGTCAATCAGAACTCAAAACTGACTTAAAAATAATTCACAATCTGTATCAAAATGAAGCAACATATAATTCACAAAAGGTGATGTGTGTAAGCTTTGAGACAGGAAACTTTCACCTTTTTTGCATAACTAGACTAAACCACAGACTGCAGTCAGTTTTTCCACTTTCAAAACTAAGATTTACCTTCCCATGCATGAGCAGTCGGATGGTGAGAGTAACATTCAGCCCCCCTTCGGTAACTTTAGGATCCATAACGGTGTCAATATTACAGTATCAAGGTATTCCAAAGGAAATGATGTGAGTCAAGAGACAGACCTGCATGACAAACACAAAGCAAAACCATTAGTACTCACAAGGAACATTCATGAAATACACAGTTCAGAAGACAGATATTGCTCATGGCTCAGACACTTGGGTTATACATGCAGTGCATTTTGCCACTTTAGAAAGATCCCCACTAAATCTAGGTATTAAGTTTAGTTTTGAAAGCTCCTTGAAGCTAGAAACTTGGTTTGAATGCTAATGGCATTAATACACAAGCCAAATTCTTATAGTTACTATCCATGCTCCAGAAAGCACAAACTTTATTTCTAATTAGACTGGATAAATATATCAGAAACACAAGGATTCCCTCCCTCTTTCACAACCTCTTCCTCCCTCCTCATTAGGTTATGATAGACAGAAGCTTGAAACTAACTTACTTATCTAACTATTGCCATGAATACCAGGACACAGTACAAACAAAATGGTTGTCCACTATTTTAAAATCAAAACATCTTTAATATTAATGTGAAATATGTAGATATCTTAGCCATCAGAGGTGGTTAATGATTTTTGATCCGGCTAAGGTAGATGTTTTAGACCTTTGGAAAGATATTGGCAGCCCAGGGAAGATTAGCGTCAGCTTCAAAAAGGTCATTTGCAGATTGGGAAACTATGGATATGGCAAGATAAGATGTAGGGAATGCAATTCTAATGAATTATGATTCCATTACCATTACACAACAAATGTAATGAATAGCATTTAATACCGTAAGTCTCAAAACAAGCTGGGAGTGTTTAGATACATTCCAACTTAATAAATGTCATCACTGGAATAGAGTAACTCTTTAAAATTATGGGGGGAAATTATTTTTGACAGAATGGAAAAATTTAAACTATTACCAAAATTACGAGCAGTTCTCTCTAAAGAATTATATTTGCCTTTGTTAAATAATTTTGCATGTATAGTTACACATTCTCTCACTTTTGATTTAGTGGACAGAAATACCGCAGCCAGAAAATTTCAACAGATCTCTAAACTATTGCTCTTCCAGTTGAGGGAACATTTTTGCCAAGGGCTGCTGCGGGGTTTTCTGCTGCAAAGATATTTTGGTTTTTGGCCTGCAGGTTGTTATGCTCAGAAATCATTTTAGCCGAAATGTAAAATAAACTGAAGGGCTTCAATGCATGAAATGGAGCATTTAAATCTAGCATTTGGGATGAAGTTGGGAAAAGGGGAGGGGGTGTGTGGAATTAGAGAAGAAAGTCACTTTTCAAGAACTATAACAAGTTGGTTTCAGGTGGCAAACACATTGAAATGCATGTCCTACACCCAATCACACTAACAAAAAGTGAATGTTTATTTTTTTTGGCATGTGGCTGCCCTTTAACGGATCATGCATTACACAATACAAATCAGAAATCTGTTGGTTTGGTTGAAAAATATAACTGCTTAAAACAGGTCATATTCCAAAAACTGCTGGACATCGATGTATTTTGCCCACAAAATATACAGTCAATTCACTTTACAGTATATTCTGTGAAGTGCTTTGAGACATCTCAAAGACGTGATAAGGCACTATATCAAATGCAAGGATTATTATCATTATTTGATATTTTGAGATTATTAAATTCTGCTTAACCTCTCAAAAAAGGTTAGCTTTTTAAGAATGTCCACAAATGCTATTGCATAAATGATTTATGTTGATGGATGGAAAACAAATACATCTTAAACAAGCCACTATACTGGTAATGGTTTTAGTAGAATTCAGTTGACAATGGTGAATCTAAATGGTGTCCCTATAGTCAATACAGAAACACAACTGAAATATCACTTCTGTCAAAATGAGTTTGAACATGCCATTCTGTTTGCAAATTATTTTCAGTTATCCTAGAACTGTATTATATATGTCATATCTAGGTTTCTCTAAAGTACCTCAGCAATATTTCTAGATATATGTTTCCACAGAATAAATGCTTGTGCACAAGCTTGACCTAAAGATAACCTCAATACAGATGGCTGTTTAACCAAGGTGATTCAGGCAGTAGGCTTCAATGCATTATGTACAAAAGCAAACTATACAGAGGTCAAAGATTAAGGTAGACAAAGGTCAATCGCATTTATAGTTGGATCATGTTTCATGGAAATAATTACAGACCTGCATTTATTGTCTTTTCATGCCAAATAATTCAAAGTGCTTCATAATCTGTCAAAGTAGGTAAAGATTGTACAAATGGTCATGATGAATAACCTTAATTTTGAAGGATTGTTAGTGGGGAAAATTTACTTCTCCTTTTGAATTGTCATGGGATCTTAAATATACAACTGAAGAACAGGTACACTTGGTTTAAATATCTAATCTGAACGAGTACCGACAACACCGTCCTTCCCTGAATTGTCAACTTGGTCTGTGAGCTCAAGTTCAGACATGGGCTTGAATCTGTTCTTATCCCGGAGGTTAACTGCAAATAAAAATGTGCAATTTGCTAGCCTTTTGCCCACTAAAATCAATTTCAGTTAAACAGAAACAGATTTGTTTTTAAAAATTATATCAAAGCAACTAAACCTCTAAAGTGACTCTTGGCTTCAGGTTGAATTTATCAGTAGCTAACCATATAACAATTGTTTGGGCATTGTCGAGCTCTAAATTAATCTGCACAATAATTTCAGCCTAGCAAATACCAAAACTTGGATGATTTACATGGTTACAGATACGATCAGGGCAATCATAGACGTATTTTGTGTGTATCAAGGAGTGAAGATGCTACAAATGCACTTTAGACCACGTTTACATGATGAAAACACTAAAATTATCCAAGTCTGGTTCAAAAGATGCTTTTAAATTAATTTTAACCATCGGACTCAGAGGCTAAAGTTTTACAAACTGATCTTGGTGTAAAATTAAGGCAATCACATTGTAAAATTTAGAACTTAAAAAATGTTGGCGAGGATATGGAAAGGCAGTAAAAACAAAACAAATTATATTCATTGTATAATGCAATAAAAGAAAACCAACTAAATAGGGGCCGGTGGAGGGGATGAGAATTTCCCTGAATATTGACAGCCCAAGGGTGAATATATGGAATGTTCAAAAATAATGGTGGGGGGGGGGATGTATCAGAAATAGAGGTGCTTACAGCCACCTTGCCCCCTCTCCTTTGCACAGTGTCCAATCCAGTCCTTCTAGAGTTCTTCAATAGGTTACCCTATGTGAATATAAATGGAAGCTGTTCGCATAAAATTACACAATAGGTAGAATAACCATCAGAGGTTATTTGAAAGTTTTCGATTTCATCTCACTAGTGCCACCTGGCTATAAAGCACTGCTGGAACAATCCTCACACAGGGTATATATAGCGTATCCTAATTTTACAGAATTCTCATTACAAGTATCAGCAAAAGATTGAAAGTGTAAATCAGATGCCTGTCTTTCAGAATTAAATCCTACTTTATTATTCAGATAAAATGCATGCTCTCTGAGGAAAGGATTACGCTCTCGGGTTAATCTCTGGATTTTCTTTCCTTTCATTATCTTTCTCCTTCTGTAGGTCTTGCCCCCCCACCCCATTATCTTTCTCTTTCTGCCTATTTTCTCTCCCCCACCCCACAATCACCACAAAAAAACAGGGATAAAAGGTTAAAATAGTACAATCAATCCCAAGTAGAATTAGTAGGAGGACCTCCTGGAAGTCATCATTTCTGCCGAATCAGTCATCCTAGTGTTTCATATAATTGCATTAATCAGCAAAACTATGCAGTAAAACTAGCTAATAACTTGGGGTGAACTTTTCTGTTTATTATTGGAAGTGGTTTAGTAATGCATTATGCAAAAAAAATCGCTATAGAGAAAAGCCCATATTTAGAAAGATTGTTTTGAAATAAAAGTCCTTGAATTATCTACATTTAGCATAAAGATCTGAAATGAGCTCTGATCGCCAGGTAAGGATAGGGTCAGGTTTGGCTGCAATGGCCCTGCAAACAGCCTCCTGATGGACATAGTCAAAGCTGATGCATGAATACAGGCCACATCAGGTGCCCAGTATGTGTACAACAGTTCCTGAGCAGAAGAGACCAAGAGTCAAAATACCCTCATAAAAAGATGAATGACAGTGGTATTTCACCGGTGCTCTATGGCACAAATGATTGAAACACTGAACAAAAGTTCAGTTAAGAATAGTTTAACATCGCTGAACAGAGACATTCATTCAAAATCACTTTTCCACCAAGCATTAGTGAATGAGATCGGCCACTTAGTCTATTTAGTCAAGAGGTCATCTAATCCCATCTAGTTTGCATAAGAATAGTCTTGCATCCCATGACCTAAAATTCTTGTGAACTGCTACCATATTCTATTAGCTCAATTGTGTGGTTGCCACTATATGATCTTTCAGTAAGTGTTTAAAAGTGGACCTGCCTTGATAAACAGGTATTATAGATAGGAAATATAATTCCAAACGTGTCATTAGTATGCGTCAGACTACTGAGACCGCCACAGGGGACTGACAATTTTGACATTGGTGGAGGCAGCTCAGCTCTCAACCCCACCAAAAATAATACTTAACATTTGATATATCGACTTTCACATCAGGAGGATGTCTCAAAGTGCTCCATAGGGTACACTGTAAAGTGGAACAACTATCAATTTGAAGGTGAATGGGGAAGCCCAACTGCACACAGCAATGTCCCACAAACCTCAATAAAGTGAATGACTAATTTTATTTGGAGGATTGTTGGCCAGGACACAGTAGAATCTCCCTCCTCTTTTCGAATAATGCCATGCAATCCTTAACATCCACCTGACCTTGGTTTTACATCTCATCCAAGGACAGCACCTCCAACAATACAGCCATTAAACTGGAGTGTCAGAATAGATGATATGAACTCCAAGTCCTCACATGGCGTTGAACCCACAACCTTCTAATTCAAGAGGGTAGAGGGCTACCAACTGAGCCAGGCTGACATTCAAGAATCATTATGGTTAACACAGACCCTAAAAATACTCCAAACTAGCCGAAACACCATAGAGGGCTTTAACCAATGCTAGCAGTTCTGT